CAGAGAGAGGACAGGAGCACTCAGAGGAAGCAGCGTGGAGAAGCAGAAGTCGGAGCAGGCCCCCACGGAGTGTGATTAGTACCAGGAGCGGGGTTCCACGGGAATGCTTCCGGAGTCAGGAGCCCACCCTTGAGCCCCAGCCCAGGGGAAGACACAGAAGGGAACAGACAGCAGCAGACATTGAACACGCATCCTAGGGAGCAACAGGGAACACCAGGTCCTTCTCAAATCAATGAGGTAACCCGTGGACACCTGAGATCACATCACAGGCCCAGAGAGAGCCTTGCTGCTATATTCACTGATGCTGTCTAACCCGAGAAGATGGCAGACTGTGCAAATCATCTTCTGCATCCTTCGCAACCTGAGGCAGATTCTGGTTCCCTTACACTCTCTCCTTCCTGTTCGTTGAAGTGGAGACAACCCACCTTGCCCCATCATCTACCAAAGCCGTGATGCCCCTCTTTAAGGACAAAGTCCTTCTGATGTTCCACAACTCAGGAACTGTCTTTATATCCTCCAGGTTCTCCATAAACTCTCTGACTGACTGATACTCCTCCCACATCACTTGAGGTATAGCAGAGGAGTGTGGCATCAACACAAAACATATTCCCAACCGGAGAGAAAAACAGGGAGATGCCAACGGGGCTGGGTCTCAGCGCCAAGAAACCTACAGGGCCAGTGCTCTGGGGATAGTGATTTCACAGCAAGTGGTCAGTATACCTCAAGAGGAGGGGCCTTTTCCCAGATTAATAGAAGGAAGTAAAGAAGGAGAAGATAGCAGACTAATCCGAGGGCAAGACACCTTAATTCTAGGGTCCTTCTCGACTTCCCACTCTCTTCCTTGGTTAGGAATCATGGAGTGGATGAGTGAGTCAGAGGGAGCAACACCCACTTTCCAGAATTCCTAAGTGCCCAGTTTTCCTATCCCCATTGTCAACAGAGCAGGAGAAGTTCCCATGCTTCTGCTACTTTGGGACTTCTTGTCGCTTTGTTCAGCATGGGCTAAGGTGTATGTCTCCTGCAGGGCCCTGGTGGTGTTTTGGGGGCTGGGTTCTTTGACAAGATGGCCTGAGCATCTTGATGGTACACAGGGACCCTAGGGACCCTTTCAGAAGAGCCCATGCATGGTTCTGGATTCAGACACCTGCCTTCCTAAGACTTCTTGCCTCCTTGACCGGAAACAGCCACTGTAGTCTGGATTAACTGTGTGGACACACACGGCTGTGTGAAGACTCATTCTGGGATTTTTCTATTTGATTTTTTAGCAGGATATCAGGACCCCAAGAGGGAAAATCCACCTGTTTCCTGCCATCAGGTCCTCCACCCGAATCTTTAAAAATCATATTCTTCTCTTTGGTTTCCTGCTACTAAAGGACAAGGAGCAGCTTATCGAGAATTTGGGGGCTGGTGGTGTGGTGCAGTAGATTAAGCTGCCTCCTGCCACAGGTGCATTCCACAGAAGCAGCAGTTTGAGTCCTGCCTGCTCTACTTTCAATTCAGCTCTGGGAAAGCAGTGAAGATGGTCCCAGTGTGTGGGCCCCTGAATCCACATGGGAAAACCAGAAAGAGTTCCAGGCCCCTGGGTTCAGACTGGCTCAGCCCTAGCTATTGCAACAATTTGAGGAGTGAACCAGCAGATGGGAGATTGATCTTTTTCCTCTCTCTCTCCTCCATTCCTCTCTTACTTTAAAAAAAAAAAAGGTTTATTTATTTTGATTGGAAATTCAGACATAGAAAGAGGAGGAGAGACAGAGAGGAAGATCTTTTGTTCACTGAATCACACTCCAAGTGGCTGCAACTGAGCTGGTGCTGAACCGACTCGAAGCCAGGGGCTTCCTCCAGGTCTCCCACGAGGGTGCAGGGTCCCAAGCCTTTGGGCCATGCTCGACTGCTTTCCCAGGTCACAAGCAGGGAGCTGGATGGGAAGTGGAGCAGCCAGGATTAGAACTGCAACCCATGTGGAATCCTAGCAAAATCTTTAGCCAATAGGCTATCATGCTGCGCCCCCTCCCTCTCTTTCTATAACTCTGCCTATCAAATAAATAAATCTTAATTAGAAAAAGATTCCTCACTGTTTGCCTCAAATTCAAGCTTTTAGTTCTTGCTCTGGAAATCACACTCTGTACCTGAGATCCAGCTTCTCTGCCAGGTGGCCCTCCGATTCTGGATCTCTCGAATGGGACCAAGGGATTTCTGAGGTCAGTTGAGAGGCTGCAACTCCCTGAGACGTGCTGGGCTGCTTGCTTTTTTAGGGCATGCTGTGTCACCACCGTCTAACCTTTTCAGCCCAAGAGGTTTTCATCACACCAAGCCAGAGCAGTGACACACAGGCCTTCTTACAGCGTGCAGTGCTCCTCAGGGAACAGCCTAGGGTCCTAGGGGGCCATCTGGGGCCTTCTTAGGAGGACTTAATTTGATGCTCTGATTACTCGAACCCATAGCCTCCACCCCTAAATTGATCTTGCTGCCCAGGGCGGCAGATGCTACTGATAGAGGGGAAGACACAAAGCAGCTGGGAGTGCAGACGCCCGCCTCAGGAGGGGCTCTGCAAGGTGCAGAAGCAGCCCTCAAATGGGCTCCTAATTGCATCAGTTGTCTTGTCACTGGGGGTGCTTTTAGGGGAAAGCACAGTGCAGAGTTATTATCTGTCAGATCCGGTGTGTATCCCCTCACCCTGCCATTCATTCCCAGCCCTTCTCCTGGAGTTTCCTGGAAATGCACAGCTCTCCATCTTGGGCCTCTGCATCCCCTCACGGTCTGGGCCTGATGTTTCTCAAAGACAGCCTTCTGGAGCTCAGTTGTAGCTTTGTCTCTTCCCTCTGCAGCCACAACACAGGAAAGCCTGGAGAACGCTCCATGCTGGGCTCCTTTCAGCTCTAAATGTCTTCTTATAAGATTAACATTTTGATAAGGTATCTACTTGACAGGAATATGGAATTGTTAGACAGGGTCAACCCAAGACCCCTACTTCTCCCTGTTTCACCTTTTAAAAAAATTTGCAAGTATTTCCATTCCACATTAAAAAAAAAAAAGGCAGGCTAGATCCTGCAAATGCAGATAGATAGGTAATCAGCAAACAGGAAAGTAAGTGCTCAGACAGGGCAGGAGGAACAGAACTAGAGAGAGAAGTGAGCTCTATTGTTCCCTGTCCCTACTTTCTATGGTCCCTTTGTCCTCCTAAGATCTTTCTGCATCTATCACACCACTTGGCCACAGGGACCCCTGCCTTCCCCATCTCAGCCCATAGTCATTCTTCAGTAGTCACCAAAATGATATACCTGTGAGATATCAGTCACCAAGACCCAGAGCTGAGCGCTTCCATACCCTGGCACCCAGGCTGAGTCCTAAGACATAGGCAAGGAACTCACAGGAATAAAGAGCTGGGGGTTACAGAGACCTGGCCTTCCTCTGACTCTCAATGCCCCCTCCTGGGGCACTCTTGCTTGGGAGTATAAATCCGTTCAGCTTGGGACAGAAAGGGGACAGCAACAGAAGGATTAAGGCTCATGACAGCCACGCGGAGGAGCCCCGCTATGATTCAGGTCTCAGCTCCAGATGGGGAGGTTTTCTTTCCAGAAATGCTGCCAGGCTCAGAAGGAACTGCAGAGTCTGGGAGCCAGGAGTGGTGCGGGGAGGCACAAGTCGACCTCTTTCTCTCTCGGGAGCTGCATGGCGTTGATGAGGGCGCCAGAGGTGGAATTGAGTCCCACCTGTACTGTTGACTGGCTTGTGACCTTGGGGGGGTCCCTTCCCCTACTCCACAACCTCCAGCCCTGGGCTCTCTTTACTGTAGATCTGGGATGTCTCCTGCTGACCCAATGGAAGAAGAACTTCCAAGCAAAAGCACTTAGCACAGCAACCATCCTAGGTGAGAAACAGCTTTCGTAATCGGCATTCAGGGAAGGCAAACCAGCCCCCGTGGATCATGTGCCGCAAAATCCCTGTGGCCTCTCCAAGTTCTCTTCAAGCACTTATGTCTGCTACCAAATGGAAACTAAAGTTTACTGTGGGCACAAGGACTGAACAAGTTGACTTATAAGATCAGCACATTATGCAATGAGCAGAAATCTGCTCCATATCTTCTCTCCATAACCAATTCCTTTGTCGGTTCTCTCCCCCAGGAAAACTCACCAGCTTAGCAGAGTTGGGCCTGGGAGCAGAAGCCTGACACTCTGGCTGAAACACTACTGAGGGTCTGGCCCGTCTCAGCCCTTCATGCTGCCTGTATCTCATTACTGGGTCTCTTCCTACCATGTGTAATGTGTAAGGACACAAATAACCATGACTTGTAACTGCCTGTTCAGGTTGCTAGGAGGTCGAGAGTTGCTTCCTTGTCTAGGAGGAACCAAGAATCTTACTACCACTCCACTCTCCATGCCCTGTCCTTCCTGGGTACCACAGAGAGGAAGGGTTCTAAAGACAGTGTGGTGTGCAGGAACAAGGCACTGGGTCTCCCTTAGTTCAACTCATTACCAAGCATGGCAGCATCCTGGGGTGAAGGAGAGCTGGCCACAGTGGGGTGGAATCCCTAACACTCTTATCATTTTCAGTAAAAGTCTCTGTCTTAAATGGGAATGTGGTGGCCCCTAAGATGGCATGCTGCCTGCAGACTGGCATGACTCTGTCCACTCTCATATCTGCCGCTTGGGCTCATGCTTCGGAAACCAAAGAGGCATATGGGCAGTGCATGGTCTTGAAAGACTGCTGTACACCCTGGCTTCTAGCTAGCTCTGCAGCCACTATGCTGTTACATGGGTAAACTGCCACCTCCCTTCTCCTCTTTCCCCTCCCCCTCATGCTTTTATTGTGTGTGTTTTATTTTAAATCCATAAGGTAATTGGTTTTCTGCAGGGCTAACTGAATTTCCCCAATTTAATTTGCAAAGATGCTCCCCAGGAGCCACTGCAGCGCTTGCTGTCGTTCAGATTGGATTACGGGCCTCTCCGGGGCTGCTGTATTCTGAGTCAGAAAGTGGGGCCGGGCCCCCGTAACCTGATTACCTGAGCAGCGGAACTTCTTGCTCTTGATCTGGCTGATGCGCTTGTTGGCGAGCCGGCGCGGGCTGCTGCAGCGGGCCCCGCTTGTCTCGATGGGGTTGTCCTGGAGGTAGTCAGCCAGCCACTTCAAGTGACAGTCACACACAAACGGGTTCTGGGCTAAGTGGCTGCAAGAGGGATATTGCTGTTAATCAGGGGTGCCCTGTGGTGCTGTGCTCCGTTACCAGCCTCCCTCCGCCACACCCAGGAAGCCTGGAGGGGGGCTTCATTCTAAAGAGACCCCCCCAAGAGGGAACCCATGCCTGCTGTCTGCTAAACACAGTCACAGCTGCGCCCAGCATCTGGCTTGGGGAATCTCCCTCCCTGCTCTCTCCACTCAGGGGCCGGACCTGCCACCAATGGCCTCTACTCTCACCCACGTGAAGCATGTCTGAACTTGGCGTTTACACTTAGGGGAGGATGCTTATTACTTCTCCAAGCTCGGTGATCCCAGACACATGAAGCAGCTGGCATGGTGACTGACATATGGTGGGTGTTCTATATATAGCAGTGGGTACTGCTCTTATTCCTCTCATCATTATGACAGTACTGAATGGGTGGGTCTTGCTCCCCCTGCCTCAGTCAGGAAAACACTGTGAAGTCCTGAACACAGTGCCTGGTGGGCAGTCAACGTTCACACACAGCAGCTGCTCTGAGGAACCTACATTGGTCCCTGTCTCTGGCCACAGGGCAGGAAGTCAGTCAGCACCAGGTCTCTCTTGAAGTCTTGGGTAGTCCCCTCGGCTCACTGAGGCTACCCAGGCTCTAAGCCCAAGGCTGGAGCATCAGAAACAGGGGCCCTGATCAGCATTCAGACGTCATCAACTTCACTGAAATATTTATGAACATCTGCAGTGCCGGGGAGTGGATAGCACAGTTTGCAAAGAGGGTGGTGAGCCAATGCAAAGGTACCTGGCACTCAGTTGGTATTTCAGGGTGTGTGTGTGTGTGTGTGTGTGGTGGGGGGCTGGTACGGGTGGGGTGGTAGGGAGTGGCCACGAAGGAGTTCCCAGCAAAGATGGAGCCTGCTGAGAAGACATGGGCTGTAGTGGTTACAAAGTGTAGCTTAGGGCACCTCTGTGCTGATTCCAATCCTGCTTCTGACTCGCTGTGTGATCCTGAGAAAGTCACTTCTCTTGTCTGTGCCTTGGCCTCCTCACATGGAAACGGCAGGTAATCCTGGCAACTACTTCCTAGGGTTGTTAGGGGGCGTCAAGGTTTGAAGAGTGGGCTAGACTGCCCAAGTGCTCCCATCTCACTGCAGGTGCTAGCACTCCTTGGGCTGTGCTCATGTCAGTCTCACTCTGGCTGCATTCTCAGGACGGGGCGTCTGGGTCCGCTACTCACAGTGTCTGGATCGACTGCAGAGGAGCGAACAGTCCCTTGCTGATGGTCTGCAGCTTGTTGTCGTACAGTGAGAGCAGGTTGAGGTTCTGCAGGTCCTGAAATGTGCTCACTCGCAGGCAGTTGATCTTGTTGGCATTGAGGAGGCTGCAGGCAGAAGAGTCCGGTGATTCGCAGTTCCCGATCATTCCCAGGGAAGCAAGGGCTGCCCCTGCATAGGGCCTGGCTTCCATGCTCCCTGCCTCAGGACTGCTACCTTCAGTTCCTGCTGCAGCTCAGAGAGAGTGCCCTGAAACTCCCAACACATGTGGGCACTTACACATGCTGTTTCCATGGACATTGGTGCCATGGTCCAGTCCTCATGGCATCCCCAAGCTCAGAGGAAGATCTGAAATGCTACCCCATGTGTTTCACTTTCTGTCTTTACAATTCAGACCTTCCAGAAATGGAGAAGAAAAAGAAATCATCTGCCACAATTGTTTTAAAGCTTGAATTGATCGACTCTGGTACAATTTTGATTTAGAGAATTCCTTAGAGTTTTCTGGATCACTGATCTTGTTAGAAATCAGGGAAGTCATTCTCCTATGAAAAAACACATGTAGGAATAGGCAGGTGTGCACACACGTGATGCATGTACAAATGCTGCTCTCTTAGAGACACATGCACACACAGAGACTCTATCTCAAGTAGATGCATGATACACAAGGCACATACATATCTATACACATGTATTCACACACAGACGGTATCTCTTACACAAATACACACCTGTGAGAAGATTCTCTTGCCTGCTTGCACACATACACATACAGATGCTTTCTCCTACCATGCACACATGTGTGTACAGTTTATCTTCTACACATGTACACATGCACACACAGGTATTACATGCACACATATACACTTGCACGCTCTTGCATCCATGACCGGATGCTATCTTTTATATGTTTGCACACACTTGTGTGCACACAGATGCTATCCCCTGTACGCACATATAGCATATACATACAGAGACATTATCTTGGGCATGTACACACCCATGTATGCACACAGAAACCATCTCCTATACACATTTACACAAATGCACACACAAATGTGTGCACAGATTCTATCTTTTGCAATGTATAATGCAAGAGGACAAAGTCATATGTGACTTGACTTCTGTCCCTTTCTCCAACCTCATCTTAACCTCATTCTACCCTTCATTCCACCTGCTGCCTTGTGTTTCTCGAATATGCTCCAAGAGTTTTTGGCGAGGAACTGTCTTTACCCACATCCAGCAAGGTAGGCTTCCCTCCCCCTACATTTCAGCTCAAATGTCACCTCCTCAGGGAGGCCTGCCCGAACACTTTACTCCCAGTAGGATACCCTGCCCCATGATTGTCTATTTCTCTCCCATGATTATTCCTCATTTCCTTCCTGACACTCATCTCAAATTGTGATTGCAAGATATATCATTTGCCTTTTACACAAGACTGTAAGCTCTAGGATAGCACAAAGAACACCTCATTTATAACTCTTTTTATTTTCAGTACTTTTTTAGGGAATTAAGGGAAGGGCTAGAGAGAAAGAGCACTCCTCTGTGCTGGTTTGCTCCCCAAATGTGTGCAACAGCTAGATGTGAATGGGGCTACAGCCAGGAGTCGGCAGGCGACTCACTCCAGGTCATCCATGTAGGCAGCAGGGACCAAACTACTTGAGCCATCACCTGCTGCCTCTGAGGGGCTGCATTAGTAGGAGCCTGGAGCAGGAAGAGTGGATGGAGCCCAGAGTGGGATATGGATGTCTTAACCACTGGGCCAAATGCCCACAGCTTAGTGCTTATCTATTCCTGAATGAGAGAAGGACTCTGAATGACACTGTGATATATCTTGACAATAGGATGCTGGACTTCCTATCATTGTCTGTGCCAAAATGCTATGATTCATTTAAATAGAAGCATGATGGACTTGCAACTGTTGTTGGAGGACTATACTATTGTTATAGGGGAAAACAGTGAGGGGGGATGAATGGGCAGGGAGAAGGAGGGGGAACCCCTGAGTCTATGGAACTGAATCATGAAAAAAATTATACACACACACACACCAAGACCCACACCAAACTCCACATACAACTCCAGGGGCTCTCACTGTTCTTCAGAGCGCAGAGTCTCCTCAGAGTGAGATTTCCATGCCGGCAGAGACCTGTTCCTGCCAAGCCTGGCAGTCTAGCCCAGCCCAGAGGAAGCTGTATGGTTCCAGGGGAGCCTCTCAGAGTGCAACTGCCAAGACGACACATCCGAGTGCCAAAAATTTCCTTTATGATTCTGGATTGACTAGTTGGGTCCTTGAACCTGACTGGAAAACTTCTCATTCTGTCTTGAAACAAAGTTGCAGTCCAAGGGAACTGAGCTAACCAGCAATCATAGTGTATGTTTAAAACTGCACTTTCCAAGACTGGAGTCGGGCTCCAGTGCTGAGGAAATCGCCCTTGAGATCTGAAACGGGCAAACTTGCCACTGAGATCTTTGGATCCCGGGAGCCAGGGCTCCTTTTGTGGGCAGCAGTGAGGCCACCCATATCACTCAATCATCCCTGTCACCCGTCCCCTGCTACAGGCCCTGTCCTCCTTAGCAGTTTCCTGCTCCCACCCCCACCAGGGCACTCTGCGCAGCCAGGCAGCTGCTGCAGTGACAAGAAGTGGAAGAACTGCCTGTCTCATCTGGCTAGTAATGGGCAAGTTCTCCAGGTCTCACCCGGAAGTCCTCCTGCCTCGCACTGGAGAGAAGCTCATGTCATGAGAATGCTTGCATATGTCCCCAATGGCTTTCCTGACCTCCAGCTCTTCTCATTGTCACCCAGAGGGCCGGGCAGAACCAGCCCCACAAGTTACAGGCAAGGCAACTGAGGCTGGGAGTTGGAGAGACTTGCTTTAGGTTATCACTTCCAGGTAGCATGTGGGAAGGAGATCTTCAGGGGGCTTACTTCTGCTTCCCAGTGCCTTTCCTGCCCTGCCCATCTGTCTATCCCCTTAGCAGCATCTCTTCAGAGAATTTCCAGTGCTTTGGGGATCAGATTTTAGTCAAAGTCTGTTCAGCTACTCTAATTTTGAGGGGCAAAGGATTCTATGGAGCACAATCAAGTTGAGAATGAATCACACACACACACACACACCCATATGCACATGCACACATTCTGTTTTCTGAAAAAAAAAATTAGAATCTGTGATCAGTGCTAGGTCCACTGGAGGCAGCCATGGAGTGTGTCATCTTTAGCCAATACTTTGCCAAAGTCTACACTACTCCCTATTGTAGCCCCTTTATTACAGAGCCCTTCTTGTCAGAGCAGGGAATTAAATTTGAGACCCTGGTGCAGATCCAGAAGCCTAGTGTCAGTACCCTGTTCCGGAGAGTGTTCGGCCCTGAGCAATGGCGATAGGATAACCATGGGGACAGCCAAGCGGCCACTCCAACTTGCTCTGGCAAGGGTATCTAAACTGAAAGCACCTCAGCAGCCTTCTTCACACTCCAGGCCTCCCTGGGTTTGCTTTCTCTAGATGCTTCTTTGCTCCTTAAGACTGCTAGATCTCAGTATGGGATGTTTTCAAAGACACAAGGCATCAACGCAAGTCACACTGGTGGAATTACGAGGCAAAGCTAACGCAAGGCGCAGAGCGCACGAAGCAGGCAGCAAAAGAAAACACAAAGGGCACAGTCTCCTGGTCACTCATGCTCTCTGAGGATGCTCAGCTCCCTCGGGTGCCGCGTGGAGGTGCAGGGAGAGATAAAATTAAGCTGCTTATCCGGAATTAGATGCCAAAGACATGCTCGTTATCCCCAGCATCAGCAAGATCTAACAGCCTGTCCCTCCACCCTCTGCTTTGGAGGGAGACTTGGCAGCCACTCGGCTCTGTCCATCAAAGGAGCCATGGGCTATCTGCCATCCAGACAAGTGTTGGAGGGGAATTAAAAAAAAAAAAGCAGAGTAAACAACTACAGGCTGGCGACCTCTTATCTGGAAGGTATGAGGCCAGAATTGTTTCAGATTTGGGACTATTTTCAGGATTCAGAATATTTGCATAGACACACTAAGTTATCTTGGGGAGGCGGATCCAACTTCAAATACAGAGATTCATTTACCCTCCCCACATGCCTTATCCACTTAGCCTGAAGACAATTTTACACATTATTTTTAAATGTACCTTTGTGCCGACTACCACCTGTCACATAAGGTCGGGTGTGGAACTTTCCACTTGCACCTGATGTCAAGGATCATCGTTTCAGATATTGAAACATTCTGAACTTGTGGGGCTTTGTTTTTCTTCCTGGATTCAGGAGGTGTGACCAGTGGGTGCAGTGAGCTTGGCTGGCTGTCCTGGGAACTGTGCACCAAAGCACAGGCTTTGAATGGAAGCACTGATCCTCCCTCTGGGAGTGCAGACCTCTAGGCTGCTTGCATGGCCCTGGTTTATACCCTCTAGGGAAAAGACATGTGATTGTGGTGGGAAATGCTATAGTTTTGCACCCAGTAGCTCCCAAAACACTTTCCCAGCACAACTTCTGGTACCACTGGGGATATGATGGTCCTTGTGTTTCTAATGTGGAAACTGAGGCTCTGCGTGGTGGAGGACCTGACCAAGCTCACCCTGCATATGTGACTCGCCAATCTGGCTGACATCAAGGCTCACTTTTACACATGACCTAAACTCCATCTCCGCTCCCCTGTCTTCCTGTCTCTTGGGGCATGACTAGCACACTTGTGCATGCTCTAAGTGGACGAAGGCATAATTGGGTCTGGAAGACCCTGCTGCTTTCTTGGGGCCGTAGAAGCAACAGAAGCCTCGTGTCGATCCTTAGGATGGATCTGAGTCCTCCCCGAGTGGGAAGGCGTCTCTGCTTGGGGTGCTCCCTGAACTGTCAGTGCACAAGGTAGGGCAGGCTCTTCTCTGAGTGGCAGGCACCTGCACGAGTCAAGGTTTCCTTGGTTTCAGAGACCACTGTCCAAATGCTCCTGTGGGGCTGACACACATGCTCTGCAGCCCCTCACCTGGAGCCTTTGCTGTGCCCTGAGTGGGACAGAGGACAACAACAACATAGAGACAGCAGCATCCTTCACACAGGACATGATGCTCCAACTTGCCTCATTCCTCATGGTGCCAGCTACTCACCCCGAAAACTCCCATGCTCCAAGTAGGCATTAGTCTAGTTTGCCAACAGATTCAGTGAGTCAGGTGGCTGGGGGCATATGGTGCTCATAAATATTTTCCCAGAAGCAGATCCAACTATCTTTGGGACCATCTGCTCCCATATCCACCTACCAAAGGAATCTGAGAGGTCATATAAATAAAAAGTGAAGGAGAGACTGAGAAGATCAAAAAGGCAGCAAGGGGGCCACATTGCCTCACAGGTATAACCCACTAAGCATTCCACATGGCCAGGCACTTACTTAATCCTTGACCAAGCGCCCACAGCTCTCTGATACAAATGGTATCTCTACCTGTGATGATACTTCTGAGACAAAGGGGACTTACAGAACTTTGCCCAGGGATCCACAACCAGCAAGGGGTAGGAGAATGTTTGGATCGAAGGGATCTCCGTCCAAAGCCTTCACTCACAGCCTTCATACTGCCCCAAAGCCCAGCTGTCTTTCACTAAAGGAGCTGGGTGAGTCACCAAGGGCTCCTGGTAGGAGAGACAGGTGCCCTCTTGGCAGCCACTCACTTTAACGTGGTGATGGCTACAACAAAACAGCACCAGAGGAGCTAGGCTCCTGTTGGAGGAAATGAAAGAGTGTGGCACAGCTCAGAGTGGCAGAACACATGAATTGCCTTCTAAATTTATTTCCGTGTGTTAGAGCTACGAGACACGGCATCCCCTCTTCTTTTCAGAGCACTTTCGGCTCCCACATATGCTCCACGTCAAGAAGTATTAGTGCTCAGCCAATTGACTACCCAGTGCAGATGCGCTACTCACAGACCATCCTCCCACGAGCTGCTGCCTTCAGGAAAATCCAGGCAGGAGAGCCATAAGCCTGGACTTCAGGGTGAACACAGCTTCCTCCGGGACTGGGTTAAAAAGGACCTTGCTGAGCCCTTCCATGCAGCTCACAGGCCTTGGATGCAGTTTGGAGATGGAAAACCTCTGGGTTCAGGTATAAGGATGAACTGTGTTGCAATCACCTTATCAACTACAGTGATTCACAGTTCATTCTGCAGTCCAGAGCTATGATTCTGGGTGGCAGTCGGACTCTCCACACCTGTCCACGGGCCTGTTGGGCAGCGGAGTACTTCTCCTACCTCTACAGTGCATAGCTGGAAACATCAACGGTTTATTCTCCACTCTGGAGCAGAAGCTCCTCTCAGAGAACAGGTTCAAGAAGGGGTGTGTGGCCTGTACAGACCAAGACCATGGGGGAAAAAGATGGTTGAGGCTCCAGTCACAGGTGATGCTGTCTGCTTCTATCACACCAACACTCAGTTGCAGGGCTCATATATGGGGAGAAAAAGGTGGTACTCACAGCTACAGGACATAGCATATATGTTCTCTGGTAGGAGAATAATGTGTAAAGAATGGACTGTAACATCCTTGGTTAATTACAAAAGGGCCTTGGAGGAGCAGGTTGAACCTGCACATTGGTGTAAACATTAGTAGCGACCAGTTAGGGGAGTTCTTCTGGACCCTTGAGGAACTCTCCATCATGACTTCACCTTCCACCTCTTTTTATTTCTCTAGAATTAACCCTCTGTCATCCTGAATTTTTTTTTATTCATTCATTTTAATAAGGACTACTCTCTCACCTTAGAAAGCTATGCTCTCATCCTTTCCCTGTGAATTGAAGGTTTGCTTTGAGCTCCAGCTGGAGCTGGGGAGGAACCTAGTGATGCTTGGGGCCCAGATACAGGACCACATGACACTCAAGTCTCCCAAAAGGAAAGAGGAGGAACCCTTTTTGTCCCCAACAGGGACAGAGACCTCTTTCTTCCTCTCCTGATAGGAACTGCCCTGCTCATTCCAGGCTATTGGTTGTCATGGTGATTCCTGACACACACGCAGCACCACAGTCAGGTCTGTGAGAAACAAGACCTTCTTTTACTCCAGAAGCACAGGAAAGCCCTTGGGAAGAGGGGAGAAGCCATGGGTTTTCTCAGAGGACAACTAGATTCTGAGACTGGAGAGGGAGAGCTATTTCCTAATTATCGGGAGCCTGAGAGATTTCATTCATTGTGGCTCATCTTGGTCCCTTCTTTCCCAAGACAGCTAGTAGGGTGGTCTCTCTGCTATCGGATTGCCATTTGGTTGCTAATTTCCTTTAAGAGGGGGTGTGCTAGTCACTCTGACCAAGTATGAAATGATTCCATCTCCCCAGGGACTTTCCTCAGGAAGCAGCAGGTGCACACGGGAGTAATACACCATGTCATCCTGCTTCTGCTGCTAAAGAACATCATCAGCCCATCCTGCCAGGCCATAAATAAGGACCCTTGATGTTCTCACGTGGAGAGGGCTCAGCGTGCACATTGGCGGCTGGAGGACAATGAACTTTTAGGTTATAGGGAGATACACTCGCTGCATCTGAAGAGAGTAATGCCAAACTTCTTGCGGTTTCCCAGAAGCTGTGACTGAAGTTTAGTGTGACAAAAGCTTCTTACCTAACTCTGTTGCAAGAACTTAGAGAGACCATAAAAAATATCAGCAAAGTACATGCCAAGCAGATTCATCAGAGAGGCAGTGGGAGGGATTTCTGCACCAGCAGAGAGGGAGGCTGTGCTTGGTGCACCCAGACTCCTTCAAACACGAAGATTTTCAAATTTACATTAAAGTAGGTAACAATTGTGAGGCTACAGAGGACAGGGGACCAGCTTTATGGAGCATCTCCCAGGACTTCCAGAACTTGCTCAAGGAGACTTATATTCTGCAAGACTGAGAATCTGAGATAGTCTATGTTTGTGTTGGCCACCAGCCTAGATGACCGCACAATCTTCCACACTACAGTGAGCATGCGTGGTGGGAAGTCGAGGAAGGCTGGAGGAATAGGGGGAGGGCAGAATACAGAAAAAGCAACTGCAGTGTTCCCAGTTGCTGCTGACCATAAAGGAATTGTCCAGTATCCACAGCGGCAGAGCCAGCAGTGCCTTGCGAGCTACCAAGAAGGCAGCAAGACACCAAGCTCTCACCAACAGGCTTTGAGTCAAAGGGGGAGGAAATCAGCCAGACTATATTCTAATCAGAACTTTCTTATCTGAGCGTCTGCAGTCTAACAGGGAGAAATCCAATCTCCAGTGGGCTGAACGCTAAATGAGGACCTGCTTTCAACCTGCCCCAAACAGTAAGACCCACTGACGCTGATGTGAGGCCTGGTGGCTGGTTCTTTCTGGCAGGGAAGCCTGCCTGAGTTGTTTGGACTCTTGGTTTTGAGGTTGGAGGAAGACACCTTACTGCTATCCCCAGCTCCTTGCTCCTCTCAGTTCAAAATGGTATTATTCAACTGGTTTTGCCTTCCCTGTCCTGGCCATGCCCTGTGAGGCCTGCTAGCCTCATAACTGCTGTCGCTTTGGAGCTGCGACACCTTTCTTTGCTAAATAGGCATTTATAGGACCTTTAGGTGCTACGTGTCTTGCTGCATCTACTTGTGCATGTGTGCACACCCAAATGCACAGATGCTAACAGGACATTCGTGGCAGCCTGCGGAAGCACAGCACTCCCGAGTCCAGCTGAAGGAGGTTGCTGTTGTCGCCGTGCTCCCAGCAGATGGATGTCTCTAATGACCCAGCCTTGTGGGGGGCAATGCTAACTTACAAATTCTCTGACGCAAGCAAGAAAGCACCATCTGTAAACCAGCCAGCTCCCTGCTGAGTCCTGGTGTGTGAGTCTAACCAACAGCCCCAGAGGTCCACAGAGGGCTGGGTCCCTTGAGCAAGAAAATGTCCACAGAGACACACAAGGAGACCAGCAAAGAGATCCTCTCCTGTCTCTTGTGTCCACAGCCATGCACCGCCACCCACACAGAGCATGGCTGGGCCTGCAATAGCCACCTAATCACAGATCGGACACGATTCTCCCCACCATCCCCAAAGCCTCAAAATACAGTATTGGTTAAACGCCTTTCCTTCCTGCTGCACACCAGAGTTCAATTATCTTCTTCAAACATTTAAGCTCAAATGACCAGAGTGGAATTCATGCAAATAAATAAGCCTTGAAACTAAATAAACACTTCTCCCTCAGCCCACTCTTACCCAGAAAAAGTCACCCAGGCCACTGCTGATGCTCTTCTCTGTTGCTTTACCCCCACCGAGGCCTCCTTCAAGGTCAGGCGTGCAACAGCAGCTCTCTGCCTCAGCTTCAGCACTGGGACTGCATGTGCAAATGCTACCACTTCTCTAAACTCCTAGTGCATCTCTCGTGAGATATTTCCTCTTCAAAGGGCCCTCACTTTCCTGCTTTCCAGCCCAGACCCATGGTTAGTGACTCATGCCTGGGCCGCAGTTCTGGACTGGATTATTTGGGTTTGACTCATTGACCTTGAATTCCCACTGCCAACTCCCTTGGCTGTCCTTTCACAAAAACGAAGCAGTAGCGGAGGCGAGGCACACACAGCTCCAATTCTTCTCCCTCTTTGCATGCACATAAAGTCAGATGAACTCTCCAGAACAAGGCTCCAAGTGGACAGCTCAGGGCCTGCTGAGGGACCCCAGAAACACAAATGATGTCACAAGTCCTACTCACAGCAGTTGCAGGGACACCAGCCCATCGAACAGGCCCTTGGCAATCTCAGTGATCTTGTTCCCATAGAGCACCCTGAAAGAGAGAAGATGACGGTGGTCAATGCAACGTGAGGCCAATAGATCCCCCTCACTCAGGAATGTTCTAGGTGTAGGGTCTCAGGACATCTTCCTCCCAGAGCGCCCCTCTTTCCCTGCTGCTCCTCAACCCAGCTGAGGCAGGCAGTGTGCCCAGGTTTGCAGAGCCATGCTTCTGGGTACAGAGGGGTAATGGGCTCTCCATCCTAGCTTCCCTCCCAGGCTATGTCACCCAATAAATCTCCCACAACGGGAAAATGCAGTCTCTTTGTGGTATCTCCTGGGGCCTCTAACATGACTCACACCCTGGCAGTAAATAGGCTGTGTGGGAGGCTGGCTGGCTGGCCCTGTGTCTTCAATGGGTATTGATTAGGTGGAGCCCAGCCTATAGGATGTTTCCTTTTAATATCCTGTCGCATCCTAGGAATTCCCGAGCTGACTCCTTTAATCATGCACCCAGACAGAGCTTGGGTATCTGGGACCATCTCTGGGCAGCTCAGGGACAGACAAGGTGGCCGTGGTAGTCTCACAGTCATGGCAGCTTCAGCTTCCTGCTCGCTTCTCTTACTTTCTCATCCCTTTCTCTTTCAGGTCCACTGTGTCCCTCATACAGGTGTCTCCCTAGTCCGTGGTGACCGAGGAGGCCTGGGGTGGGAAATCACCCTGGCTCCCTCTGCAGGCTCAGTTCCCAGTGCATGTCTGTGCTCTGCCCTGGTTCATCCTCGGCACAGGTGGCCTCCCTCTGCTGCATCCATAGCCAGGTCTCCGTGTCTCACCTCACGGCTCTAACCTCCTTCCTTCCTCTGTGGTTGAAGAAACTGAGGTGAAGGAGGATTTGTAAGACAAAACAAAACTCCTGCCAGGCCCGAATGTGCAGGGAGCGAATGCGATATTCAATTCCCACCCAGATCGCAAATCCAAGCTGTGACGTCTCTTGGAGTTGGCAAAATATTAGGAGGAAATGGTGAAAGGGAGCGATAAACCAAGAGCCCCGTTTCCAGACGCCACCGCGAGGGAAAGCGAGCCTCTCTCTCAGCCAGCGGCTGCGTTTCATTAATGCTTCAACAAATTAATGACTGAATAAAAGTCAGCGTGATGGCTCAGGCACACATTTGTAATTCATATTAATGTGCCACTGCTCACGGTGCCAAGTGTAGTCACGTCACTGTCCGCTCACCATCCAGAGGAGCAGGAGCTCGTGGGGTGATGGAGCTGGGGCTTGTGCCAGGCAGGGTCCCCACACCACCCACGAGGTCTCAGCACAGGACATCTCAGAGGCAAGTGCGCCAGAAGCACTCTCCAGCAGGTGTACGCGGGCTGAGGCTTGCCTGTCTGGGTGCAGACACACTTGGACTCCCAGCCCAGACTTCGCCAGGCAGAGCAGGCAGTCCAAACAAAGGCAGCTTCTTCTATCTGTGTCGGTTCATGCTTTCCCTTCTCAGTGATTCTTTTATCTTCTCATAGTCCCTACCTCTGTCACTGTTGCATATATTTTTTTCAGATATTATGTCCCCTGCTATCTCCCAACTCCGTTCCCTTGAATACAGGCTCCATGGTGACACCCAAAGGCTCATTCAAAGTTGTGTGCAATCAAGCAAAAAACAGCCTAACACAGTATCTGTTGAATGAATGAATGAGATGAAGGATTTCTAGCCCTTTACTACATATAGCCAGTCCAGAACTGGGATTGGGCGTGTCTGTGTTCATCTGCAAGCTCCATGAGGCCAAGGGGCCTTTTATACTGCCCAGTACACAGGTCTCCACTAACAGAGGAAAAAATGGGAGTAAAAGCCATTTTGTTTAAATGGCACCCAAGCACATATCAGAGTTCGTTAGTGGCATGTCAATTTCATGCTTCGCAATTTCAGTATCCTTTCTTGCAAGACAGGACATATCTCACAATGCTCCAACTCAAGTTCCGGCTTGGGGAAGCCAGGCACGGGGAGTGAGGAAGAGGGGAGAGGGATATCCTGGCAGCAGACGGTTCCTCTTCCTCCTCCTCCTCCGGGATCCTCAGGACAACAAGCAGACACTAATCTCACTCACAGCCCTGTCTTTGCTATCCCAGCCAGATGTTCTATTCGATAATTGAAACTAATTTATTCTGCAAGCAGCAGGCAACAGCTGAATCTGAGACTTTGCTGTTCTCAGCCCTATCCAGTAGGATGGAGCTGGGTGGATCAAGTGTGCATTCTGCTACCTACTCATAATGTAGGTGAACAGGTTGCAAAGAGATACACAATGAGCTCAGCCCCACCCAGGGCATCCCAGTTGTGGGAAGGGTCAGAGTATCTTTGTGTCTTATATCAGAGGTTCCATATCATGGGACCAAGAATGCGGATTCCAGAACCTAAGCAGCTTGGGTACAAATCCTGCCTCTTCTACTTGTTACAGTGAAAAAGTTGTATTTATTCACTCCACAAGTTCTGAATATCTTTTTTTTCACATTATAACTATGTCAGGTACAGTTTGAGTTGCCAGGGACACAGTCACGAATAAATCAGATGGGAACTGCTGTGTTTGTTTAGTCCGGCCGTTCAGATGCTGGTTAGATACTCACATCCCACATGGGAAGACTTGGGTTCAATTCCAGTTTCTGGGTCCTGACACCAGTTTCCTATTAATGCAGACTCAGAGAGGCAGTGCAGCTCTAGCAGCTAGATTCTTGCCGCCCATTTCCGAGTCCTGGGTTGAGTTCTCAGCTCCTGGTTTCAGTCTCAGATCAACTACAGCTACTGTGGGCATCTGGGGAGTGAACCAGCATATGCGAGTTCTCTCTGTCCCTCAACCTAAAGGACACTCCCAAAATCAACTAACCCAACTAAAAACAAATAAACAAACCTTGCCATTGTGGACCATACATTACATAACTTCTTCAACTGCCAGACAGAGGGCAATAAATTCCATATTTAAGGTTGTTGTGAGAATTAGATCCTTAAGATTCATAGATCAGTATCTGGTATACAGCCAGTGCTCACCTAGTGCTGCTACTATTATTGCTGTAGGCATGGCCATCATTGGTTTTGCTAGGTAGTAAATGTACTATAGTCCCTTCTTCTGCACAGAAAGCGCAAGTGACTTCTGGCTACACAGTGTCTCTCTGATAGAATACAATCCCAACACTTTCCTGTCCCTGTGGGTGTTGGGTCTGCTGGCAGATAAGGTTCAAAATCCATCCAGGGAGCTGTCCAAGCACTTCCTCACCCAGGAAACAAAGGGACATAGCACATTCAGAACTACGGCCATGAGATGAGTGCCGAGAAACAGGTGTCTCCCTCCACCAGGCTGCCTATACCAGGGCAGCAGTAAGTAATGGGTACCTTGCAAAAAATTTGCATCGCAATTCTCTCCTGACATGTCCCCCTGGGGACTGCACAGCTGTGGCGTGTGGGTGGGAGGGGGTGCAAGATGAGTGGAGAAGATGCATTTGAATTAGACACCAACAACTGGGAAAGCTTCTGGGCATTTAATCAATAAAAATAATGCATTTGGGTTGTAGAAATATTCGCCAAGATCAATTTCCCCGAGAGAAATATTTGTTTCCTTTACCAGGTTGCCACAAGTGCGTAAGGCAGCATAAAGCCTTAATAAAGACCTCTGAGCAATGCAAACACAGTCCTTTTCTATGTGCCCACCCCTCACCCACCAGACTGGCTCCACTTACAGCGACGTGAGTGACTTCAGGCCCTGGAAGGCATCTGCAGCAATGTCCGATATCTGATTCTTGCTGATGTCTCTGCAAAGATGAATGGGGCAAGACTGAGAACATGGTGCAAAGGCATGATAACCGCTACTCCCACACGCCAGTCAAGCACCCCAGGCATTCAAAACAGTGAGGATTAATTAATGGATCAATCAATGTATGCATCCTGCCTGAGGAAGAGCTCAAAGAGGATTCAGTTTGACTGCCCAATGGCGAAGGAGGCTACACTTGTGCCACTCTTGGATTTTTCCAAGAACTCCCAGTCACAGCATCCTGGCCAATATACACAAGGAACTCAACTCTATGGGTATAAAAGCTTGTTCAGTTCAAATGAGTACGTACAACCCAGAACCTAGCAGGTGATAAAGCAAGATCCCACAGACAACCACAAGCCCAGGACTCCTTTAGGCATGATCTTCTTATCTTGTATCAAAACAGGCCAATCTTCCTTCCAGAAAGTCTGAAGTCATATCACCTCTATAGTGAATTTTCCTCCATGACCCCAGAGGAATTTCTGAATAGTCTTGGTGATGTGATAGAAGCAACTCATGCTTTCTCAGATGCCTTTGAGACGTGTGTTTTTGTGGCTGGCTGATTCCTCATAAGGGAGCAGGTCCAGGGAGAGAGGTGAGTTCCAAGGCCTTGTTGCCAATGCTGACAAGCACTTGGCCATGTGGCAGCCAGCCCAGCCTCACAGGTGCAGAGAGCTCCTCTGGACCCTCACTCCTATGCAGAGGCCCTGGGGCTGTTGTCCACTTTGCAGCATTCCAGTGCTTCTGAGAATTCAGCTCCGGGTTCCTGCTAACCACTCTTCATGGAGAGGGAATTCTTTCTCTCACAGTGGTGATTAGCTCAAAGATGACCTCTGGGTCTTTGTCACTAGAAGGATCGCTGCTTCAATTTCCTGTGACAACAAATGTCTCTGGTTCTTTTCGTTTCACGAAATCAATCAATGAAGCTTTGTCTTTTTTTGCAGGAGAGGGAGGGATATGGTCTTAGAGGGCCAACATGGAAGAGACATGTGAATATGGGGAAGAAAGTGCAACCAAGCAGATTCTCCAGCAACTGCCTCCAAAGAAGCCAGGTCCCTTAGCTACCTGGTTTCTCTTTGGCCTCGGTTCCCTGCCTTGGACTAACAGCCTTCCAAAGGGCATCATCACACCTTTACCTAGGCCTCTGTTTTCTCCCCACTCCTTTCCCAAAGCCTGTCAGTTTAAAGATATATCACAGGTTAAGGCTGCCTGGGCTTAACTGTCTGGTGTATCCCCTTGGCTGGCAAGGTCGTCTCTAACAAATCCACAGATTATGCTTGCAAACTCATCATCAGCTTACATTGGGTTTTTCTCCCGTGCTCTGTTTTTGTATAAGAGTCTTAGCAAGCAAATACCTGGGATTATTCTTATCTGGATCACCCTTGGCCTGGCTGCCTTGCAAAGTATTTCAGGCAAGCATCCAGGGTCTGTTCACATTGGGCCATGGATGGCGACTGCTGTGTCATTTTCCTCCCTGGTTACTTGGTAATCCTTTCAAGGGACTTAGATCTCCAGCCTGAAACTTACTCCAGGTCTCCAATGGGGACGGGACTCAAAACAGCTAAACCATCATCTGCCGTGTGACAGGAAACTTGGTGGCCAGTGGAGAGAGTGGGGAGGACCCCTGTTTGATTAAGCTCTTGGAAGACTGGTTTCCTGCCCAACTCTTAGACTCATCCCTCCTTACAGTGACGAAGTGAAATGTCCTGTGTTCTTGGAGATGCTGCAAAGTAGGAGTTAAAGTGATAGTTCAGCTGGGAATTGATCTCGGTGATCACTTTTTCCTTCTTTGTTACCCATGTGTTTATTCTGTATATTTATGATGTTGGATATTTGTATTCATGGTGGAATGGCTAAATCAAATGGCTTAATATATGTATTTCCTCATGTCCTTACTATGTATTTTGTAGTAAGTATATTTAAAGTCCATCCTCTCTGTATACAGTGCATAGGGATGAGCTACATTCACCATGCTGTTTCTGCCATAGGTCTCCTAGACTCATCCCTCTCCCCTCTGATCAACATTTCTCTGATCTCCACTCTTCTGTCTCCCTTCCCGTGGCAGGTACCATTCTACCCTCTGCTTTTGTGGGTCTTTTTATGATGCTATGAGTAAGTGAGATGACAGCATATACTTTGAATTCTTCCTTTGGCAGGAAGAAAACAGCAACCCCGAGAGATGAGGGTCCTGCAGCCACCGATGACTTGATAGCCACTGAGGTACAGAGGACATCTCGAGCCTCCGGATTGAGGTTCCTGCCATCTCTCCAGGACAGATGCATGAACAGGTAGGCAGACTAAGGAAGGCTTCAGCAGCAGCCTGGATTTGGGACAAATCTAACAGTGAGATAGTCCGAGAACTGTGCCTGTGCACTGGAGTTGCTATTGACCTGTGGTTCTCTATCATGAACATGTTCATTAAAAACTACCAATAGGGGAGGATGTTTGGTGCAATGACTCACGTCCCACATACTGGAGGGCCTGGTCCAGTCCACTCCTAACCCAGCTTCCTGCTAAGGAGGTGGCAGATGATGGTTTAGCTGTTTTGAGTCCCATCCCCATTGGAGACCCGGAGTAAGTTTCAGGCTCCCAGTTTTGACATGACCCAGGCCTGCCTGTTGCAGGCGTTTAGGAAATAAACCAGAGACTAAAAGATTTCTTTCACAAACAAAATGCTTTTAAAAATTCTTTTAAATGGACCCACAGACTGAGTTGTTCAGCTTGTGGAGGGGTTGAAAGTTGGCACCTTTACAAATCCTCAGGCAACTCCCATCAGGCGAGCGCTGGTTTGTACTCCTGGCCACGATGTTTAGGGTGAATCTCAGACTCACTTCAGTTCCTTAAACACCCAAAGAGAGCAGCTGTCCCAAATGATTCCAAACACAGGTGTCACATTCAGGTGCCTTCAGGGGTCAAGCAGGGGATATGTGTGAGACACCAAGAGGTCATGAGACCTGTGGAAGCGTGTTCTAGCTAAGAACACACCACAGCACAGCACAGCACTCCTAAGCTGCCAGCTTGGCCATCTTGTCAGGGCCACCAGTAAGCCAGCACTGTATACCCAAGGAGTCCTCTCCAGTGCTTCTCTCTCCTTGCACATGGCAAACAGTTTCTCTACTTTGATAACAGATCTCACCTCAAATGAAGCTTTTAGTGTTTTTATTTATTCAATTTTTTTTTCAAACTGAAGTAAGTACTGGGAACAGGCAGGGACAAAGTCATTCATTCATGAAGAATTACATATATAAAGCATGGGAATGTGATTGAAAGTTGAGGGAAACTTTTACTTTTGTGATATTTCTGGGATAAACTGGTCATCTACACCTAGGAAGCCTTGACTCTTAGAGAGCCAGAACCCACCATCATCAGGTAGCCTACCTCTTCCAAGCCATTCTATCCAAGCAAAGGTTTCTGCAGCTTTAACCAGCTGAAAATGGCTCAGTGGGTCCTCTTTCCTGCTGCTATTTCCCTGGCCAGATTTTGGGCTGGGGTGGGAAGGACATCCTAGTAAATATCAGGAACATTAAATGTGATCAAAAATTAAATTCACTTTCTAGGTCGTGATGGAGGAGTTCTCATGAATTCTGAATGCATGGATCACAGCAACTGCAAGAAGACAGGAGAAAGGACAGGGAAGCACAGCCAAGCTCTAAATTATCTGGACTTCACAAAAAATTAGAGCAGTGACTTAAATCATGCAAGAGATATAGGTTGAAGCAATGACGGAACTTGTCATTTTTCACTGAAATTACTATCTGGCTGCATAATCAAGCTGGGCTTTAAAAATGAATTGGGAGGGGGAGAGATTGTGCATAGAGAGTGAGCTGGGGAAGCAGAGATGCCAGGAGATTAATGGCCCAAGGTTTTAAATATTAAGGCCTATATTTATACAGCTCCTCTAGCAGGAATGCTGCCAAGGGGAGGGAAGAAGTCCGTGCCGAAAGCTCGCTCATTATGTTGGTTTCCACTTCTGGAACAGCACCAGAAGAAAAATCTTGTTTGGTTTGGATTTCCAGGGAGATGGGAAGTTGACTTCCTGCAATTTGAGCGGGTGGTGTACTGATGCCACTGTTGCACAGAGATGGCTATATATATATATATATATATAAAGGAATCAGCAGATTTTGTCAATGTAGATTCTCTCACTCAAGGGAGGCCAGTGATTCTACCTCACGTGGGTGTAGGGAACAGTAACACATTCACACACATTGTCCACCCTCCCTCCTTCCTCTGGCAGGGATACGGGCAGTGGCAGAGGGAGTAAGCGCAATGAAAACAGCGTCTTGATGACTGTTCCCACACAGTGCTTTGTCATCCTGAGAAAGGCCACAGAGTCTCCCCTCAGAATATCATCCATGATGACAATGGTCGGGCTATTTCTGAGTCTTACTGCCCTCCATTAGAGCATCCAGGAGTGACTGATTCACAGACTAGTGCTCAAGGTCATCATGTGACAGGGACAGATGAGAACACTGTTGCCACGGTAAGAGTGGGGACGAGGGCAATGACTCAGTGATGCTCTCAAAGGCAGCCATGGCAAGGAAGGTGCGGCTGTGGTGAGATCACCCAGTGTGATGCAGTGTAGTGGAGGAGGTGATACTGCTTACAGGGGGTAATGTGGGTCATCAAGATCAAGTCATATGCACTCTGCATCCTCTACATTTAGAAAAAAAACAGGAAGTTTTACAATGAACTAAAGGGTTTATGGGATCCGGTCCTCACCTACTTACCCCTCCAACACAACTCCCACTCGGGGCCCCTTATTTGTTCCACTCCTTGCTGTTCCACAAACCAACTGCTCACGCCCCCTGTGCTCTCCACCTGCTCTTCCTGCTGCCTTCCTCTACTCAAGTTACCTGCACATAGAGATCTTCTCGGGCAGACCCACCACTAACAGCCAGTCTCAGCTGACGTCCCTGTTTGGGGTTTTACATCTTAATACTTATCAACACCTGACGTTTAGCTCTTCATTTTCCATGTTTCCCACTTGCAGGCTTCAGGAGAGCAGAATTCACTGGCGGTCACTGCCTTGCTCACAGTCCCTCAACTGCAGTTAGATGCTCACCCAGTGAGCTACACTCGTGGTTGTTAGTATAACGGTGGTGGAGACAGACAGATCCACAGATCTCTGCTGAGATCCCTACTTCTTCAGGTTCACATGACCAAAGCCAATGAAAACAACTAGATTTTAAAAGCCAACTCAGCTCTGCCTCCCACACAGATCACTTTGCTTTGATCCAGCTGGAAAGGTACACGGCTCAAGGGATGTCAATGCTGACACACCTCACAATCTTTACACCACACTTCTGAACCTTACCTCCAAATCTTAGCACAATGCTCCATGCCTGGAACAAAACTGTTCAGGAGGAATGGAGGTGGCATAACCCCTTGGTGGGCTGCCCACCATGCGTGACAAATGGCCCCCCCAAATTGAACACATTTGGGCTCATTGCTTCCCAGGGGGAAACTTACATTCTCTTCAGCTTCTTGTACGGGCTGAAGGCTCCGGCAGGGATGGATCTGATCGAGTTCTGTTCAAGGCGTCTAGGATAAAGAGCAGAGAACAATCAGTTGACCACGAACCTGTCTGCAAGTGGTGGCTGAGGGCTCCTGTGTTCACTGGCCTTGCTGACGGGATGCTCCCTGTCATCACAAGGTACGTGCTCTGGGTGTGGTGCACAGCTAACCTGCAACAACAGAAGTCCCAGGTGTAACAGAAGGAGCACTTGCCCACCAGCCTACTTCTCCTACAGAAAGCAAGAAGGGCTAACTGTTCCATAAAAATGTTTTTATTCATCGTAAGTAGCTGTCAACACTATAGAAAACTGAAGCAAGTCAGTTCCTGAAAGAGAGAGCGAAAAGGAGATCGATCCTGGGCCAGCAACACCTTACAGTCATGGAACCATGTCCCTACTCAGTGGAAAACTCAACTACCCTGCCGATAGGCGGAGGTATCAAAAGCTGGCTTCACTTCTGGGCTTTTCAACTGGCCATTTTACCCTGGCGAAGTTCTTAGGCTTCCAGCGTGACATCCATCAGACTAGCTAGCTCCCAGACATCCTGGAGGCCTCACGGCCCGCTCTCCTGGGCTGCTGCCTGAATCTGCGCCTTCCGTCTCTCACAGACTTTCTTCAAGTGCTTCCGCTCTCACTCCTACTCCTCTGGCAGGGATGAGAGACACTGCAGGCCCAGGGCCGAGAACTTCCTAAGAAGGGAAGGGGCCACGGGGAGTCAGTGAGCATTTCCTTTCTCTATTCTTTCATCTCTCAAATGACTCCCCATCACCCGGAACAGGTGCAGTGGGAGACAGGCCTGAGTAGGAGGCGGGCTGCTCCATTACAGGTGATGAATGACACTGTGGCTAGGCTGGGGACTCAGCAACTCACCCTCATCTATCTCCCTTCTCTCTAAGGTGCAGTTCTTTCATCACCTCCTCATTTGGCACAGATGCTCCCCAAACCCTGTGCTGGGAAGACATAGAAAAGGTGTGTGTGGAGGGGGAGGCTGTGGGTGGAGGGGGAGCTAAAGGAAGAGACACAGGAACCAGCTCTGTCTGAGCTACATCAAGTGGATGCACATTTCTGGCTGGGATAAACCCATTCATCTTGAAGAGTAATCCCCATTGCAGAGTGGGGGAGACAGTCGTATTAATTTGTGCCTCTGCGATCTCATCTTCATTGAGAGAACAGAGTATTTGTTACTGGAACCGCTAATGGAGCAGTTTGCCAGCAATTTTCCCATTTCAAACAACATCTCAGCTGCTAATGTGGAATGGTTTGTCAGGCCTACCCATAACACAGACAAATCACTCTCCAGGCAAAACAAAGCAGGGAGGGGCGGGGGGTGAAAGGAGAAGAGTGGGTACGAGGAGAGAGGGAGGATCAGGACAGATCACTCTTGGCTGCCGGTTGAATAGAGTCTACAAATGGCAATGCCATGGTCTATTAAAAATGCCTTTCTGCCCTGCTAAAAGGGGGTGGGGAGTGTACTTTATTAGGGGCATGGTCTCAGGCAGGCTAGACAGGGACGTGGTTGGCTTGTAGTGGAGCCACTGAAGCTAGCACATACAAGCTTCAAAATTAGAGGGCCTAGGTACAGCCACCCACAGAGGCAGGGCACTTCACACAAGCTGCCTTGCCCGAGAAGTTCCAAGGACATTTTCATTTCTCAGCTTAGCAGAGAATCCCTTTGTGAGGGATTTCTCAGCCAAGGTAGCAGCTCTGTAGATCTCTGGGGCTGCGAGTCAGGTGGCATGGGCTATGCGGAATTCCTATAATTCACCTGCCACTTGGCAAGGAAATTTAGGCTGCAGAAAATCTCCAGAGAGAGTCACTGTAGAGATGGTGACTGTCTCAGCTTTTACAAGAGGATGCACCACTCCCAGCTGCAGGTCAAGAGCCTACACCAGTCAGGTCAGAGTTGGGTGTGACAGGTGCAGGAACCAAAGGGGAGCTCAGTGAATGAGTAGACTGTGAAATCTGCTCATCATGCGTCTCACGATGAGGGACAGTCCAAGATGATCCATGCTATAAGAAGCATCATTGTCTATAAAGTCTAGTGGGTTTAAATCTGCTCTCTTTTTGAATCCTTACACTGATGGGGTAAACTGTATTAGACCCCTTTCTGGATTGGGAAAGGCAAACCCCAAAGGCATTTAACACAGCTTGCTAATGCAGCAGCAGCAACAGGGCTCTGCTTCTACCCCCTTGGACACACAGTCTCACTGTATTTGTAAAGATGAGAAAATCCAGGCCTTGAGACCTGGTTGGCTCTCTCCACATCACACATTTCAAGGGCTACAACTCGGTGATCGCTGAGACATCATGGCAGCTCTGTTGAGTAGGGACTCAGAGAAAAATATGTAAGGTTGAGGGGACTACAAATGTGAATCCAGCTGGTCTGTAGGTCTACATCTCCATGGGCTGAAAATATTTGGGAAAAACTATGAATTCTGCATGGAACACGTACTGACAATTTTTCCTTTGCCACTGTTCCCTAAGAAATACGATATAACAACTATTCACACATTGCATTAGGTATCATACATTTTTAGTGATGATTTCAAGTACATGGAAAGAAGTGTTCTATATGAGTACTCTGCCATTTTTCATAAGGGACTCGAGTGTCCAGGGACTTCAGTATCTTTGCAGGGTTCTGGAACCCATTTCCTGAGGATGCCGGACCAAACTGTGTACATGAACATGTAAATGGAGTGCGCAGGTGCAGCTTGTTTGAACAAAGAAGCAGGAGTCCCAAGCTTAGCCTGTTAGCCCTGGCTAAGACCTTGCTCTGTACCCTGTACTTCTCAAATGTACTTGCCCTGAGATGGTTTGTCTTTTCCTTCTCAGCTTCCCATGTAATTTTGAGAGCTAGACAGAGTCCTAATGCCAAGGATACGACAAGGATTAATCTTGCCCCAGGACACACCTGAGATTTGCTGGCATGTGTGTGCATGTGTGGTTGACATGCCTTAAGTTTACAGTAAAATCAAGGGGAGGCATAATAGCAATAACAATAAGAACATAGAGAGAGGGGACGTCAGAAGTCTATGGAAAGTGGAAGTAAAAAGTGAACCTTATTTTGGTACAAAAATTTGGAAATTCATGCATAGTTTTTTTCCTAATATGCATTTTAACGTATTATGTGAAGATCCCTTGTTACATAATTTCATTTTTTTTGCACCAAAAGGAAACATTGTTTCATTCCATTTTTCTACAAGCTTCTGCAGGTATTCTCTTGGATAGTTGGATGTCAGACACTGGGCTAAGACTTCATACACTTTGTCTAACAACTTTTACACCTCTAGGAGGTCAACCTTACTATCATTCCCACTTTAAACATTAGACACCTAGGTGCAGAGAGGTGAAATCACTTGTCCCAACTCACAAAGCCAGGAAGAGCTAGCGAGAGCTGGGATGCCTGATCATCCAGTCTGCTTTTACAGCCCAACCTCTAAGTCAGAGAGCTTTATCAACATCCATTCCTTTGTTTAGTCCTTGTCAGCTCATTCGCAGGGAGAACAGTCCCTCTCTTCAGGGAATGTGTGCACACATGTGCACATGGCACCCATGGTGGGTCTAATGCCAATACATTGCCCAGTCCTGCAGCCTGAAACAAGGATTTAACATTCCAGGTCCCTAGTGAAAAAAACTTCAGAATAAAAGACAAAAAGCAACACTCATATCAACAAAATCTGTCACGTTTCAGCATGTGTCTAAAGCCAACAGCTGCTTTAGGTCTCTCTTAACTGGCATATGTGTCTCTCTTTGTCTGGCAAACATTCTTCAGGCTGCAAACTGATTTAATAGAACTAGCATAAAAACAAACATACAAATCAAACATCTGAGCAGCCTCCCGCACCAGCAAAAACAATGGGAACATCTGATGGGGATTTCAGCCATTTGTGTTCTGTATTGATTCACTCTAGCTCCTCGGGTGCTTCCTTAATGATCTGTCATTTGCAAACATGCAAGTGAACAGAAGATATTTCTAGCAATACAGGAGGCAATATGATGCTAGGGACACCGGCAGAGCCACGGCTGGTGTAGGAGCCACTCTGCTAGGCACACCATGTAGAAGTGTTAGTTTGCCCAAGGCCAGGTAGCAAGTGAATGGTGGGACCTGGACTCCAAGCCAGCTTGGTCTGGTTCAAGTGCCCATGTCCTTAACCCCTAGGTAGTGTTGCCTCCCGTTTTGGAAGCAGTTATGGTTTTGTAACTGTTCTAGCTCTCTTCATTTTCCTTTCATTTAGAGACTGTTCTTAGGATGTCCATACTCTGCTAAAGGAAGGGAGTTCCACATCCATCCTTCCTATAAGTCACGTGTTGAGGATGAGATGATGACTCATAATGCACAGGTTTAATTCTTAATGTTTCTCTGTGCCTAGAAGACGGCAGAAGGGCAAGTCCCTTTCAAGGCTGAGTTTTGGACCTGTCTTCTGGGGTAGCCCTCACTGGATGCTGCCTTTCTTTGCTGTGATTTTCTTTAAGGAGGTACTGAGTCCTGGACTTCCCCATCAGACTTCCATATTTGGTTCATCACACAGATGAGGAAGGCAGGTGTGTCTGCTACCAGCCATTCCCAACCTGAGCCCGCAGGATACCTGGCATCACCTACAGGAAAGAGAGGCACCAACATGGCCAGATCGGCTCTGCTTGTTACATAACATGCGTCTACAGAGGAACTGCTTCCTGTCTTAGAAAAGAACAGATGAAGACCAGCCTGAGCTCCTGACATCACACAAGTATACATGTGTGTGGGTTTCAGCGGTTAACAGATCCCAGGTTTTTTTTTTTTTTTGAGCTTCCAAATATACCAGTTCCCTCTGTGCTATGCTGCTTAATGTCCACAACAAAGCTCTGGGAGGGTACCATGTTTCCTGCTTCATGAAGAGGGTAAACTGAGTGAGGACCAACATGCTAGAGATACAGCATGGGAGTCAAACCCAGGGTGGCAGATGCCTCTGTTCTGAACTGTTCTTGTGCCTGATCAGTTTCTTCCTCACGGTCACTGTGTCCACCTCACCTGCTTTTTACCCCTTCTTTGTGGCAGGCCCTTAGAAATCTGGTGCTCTCAGGACATGTGAGAGTCACTGATGGCTGAGATTTCTAGAGCTCTCCAGCTCCTTGAATTCTTCTAGCTGGCTTGTTTCAAGATTACTCTCTCTCTCTCTCTCTCTCTGTTTATCCTTCCTGTAATGAGGGAAATGTACAATGGTTAAGCTTCTCATCCCCTACTCTGCATAAACAATGGGTTGGCAAGGGTGGAAATTGAGGCTGCTTCTTCCTCGGATGCTTTCAGTTCCAAATTGACATTGTAACCTGTTCACAGCCTTTCCCCACTGAGTGTACTGATCCTCCATCACAGAGCACCTGGGATAATGGAAGATGCCATGCTGGGTGCAAAACAAAAGATGAAACGAGATTAGAATGCAGTTCCAAGAAGAGTCAGTTTGTCCCTGCCCCCAGGAGGGTATCTAACGGAAATGGGGGTGGGTCTCTGGTTCTTCCTGGAATCTTTCTCCACTGGAGGCTGTAGCCAGTTCAGAGAAATTACAGGGAATGCAAGAATGGTGCCCTTGAAAGGGGGCTCCATTTCGAGGAAAATCTGCAGTGAAACACTTTGCCATGGGTTCTCTGGAAGCAAGCTATTCTTAGCAGAACTGGCTCTAGTATGCGGGGAGACCAGCACACGCTCTTCTAAGTTGCTTTAGCTTTGGAAAAGAATCTAAGAGAGTCTGCCAGATGGCTTTGTACACCCTCGCCCCAAATGGTGGGGAGTGTGGAACATCTCCCAAGATTATGGCAATCCAAGAGAATGCTTAGTAGCTGAGGACTGAGAAGAGGGAGTAGGAAGCCTGATAAGGTGCCAAGTGCTCCTGAAGGGTAGCAAGGTGGCATCAAGCAGGTGGCTCAGGACCAGAGTAGAAGTCTCCAGATAATGAGAAAACATACTCAGATGTCTGAGATGGTGAGTCAGACACTTCCTATTCACCCTGGATGGCTCCTATGCATTTCAGTTATTTGAAGACGGTTAGACCAACATGCAGGTCTCCGGGCATGATCTTCTTAGCTGTCAGGTAAAATAAGGTCCCCCTGCCCTGAGTTCTGACAGATCACCTCTCGCACCAGCTCCCCAACTACAGAGACATGCTTCATCTGTTTTCATCTCAGCTTTGTTTCATAGCAGACGAAAATGAGGGAAACACAGCAAGGGAGGGCCTGGGCAATTCAGCTAGTAGACCCAGGGTGCCCAACACTCAGGGATAGCACTATTTCCTTGTATTACATTTGCATGAAATTGAGCTACTCCCAGGTTCATGTCATCATGCTAGTGATTGGCTTCTTTCTATCTTGCACTGTCTCCATCCTAACCCTTTAAAGAACTGCCAGGCCCTGCATGATTACTTAGTGGCTAATGTAGTGCAGTGGTAAAGCAGCAATAATAATAGCCCATATAGCAGACACCACACTAGATATTCCACAGTGTACATTCACAGAATTTTCTCAAGAGCCATGGGGAAGTACCATTGGCTGCTGCATTTCTCAGAGGGGGAAACTGAGGGTCAGAGAAACTACCTGCTAGTAGCTATGGGACAGGGACAGATGGGATGTGTGCTTGCCTGAATCCATGGGCTACATTCTAAACCACCTGCTGTTGTGTATGGTCCCTGCTTAGGCAAACACTCTGGCTAGGATGCTCAAACTTGAAGTTTGGATTTCACCGGGGTGGTGATTATAAACATTTTTTTGTTTACTAATGAGGGCAATCTATGTTTGTATGTATTAGAAATACTGTTATGGGGCCCAGCACAATAGCATAGTAGTTAAAGTCCTTGCCTTGCATACACCAGGATCCCATGTGGGTGCCGGTTCTAATCCCGCCGGCCCTGCTTCCCATCCAGCTCCCTGCTTGTAGCCTGGGAAAGCAGTCAAGGATGGCCCAAAGCCTTGGGACTCTGCACTCATGTGGGAGACCCAGAAGAGCTCCTGGCTCCTGGCATCGGACTGACTCAGCTCCAGCTATTGTGGCAGCTTGGAGAGTAAACCATAGGATGGAAGACCTTCCTCTCTCTCCTCCTCTTTGTATATCCACCTTTCCAATAAAAATAAATAACTCTTTTTTAAAAAAAAAAAAAGAAATACTGTTATGGAGTGTTATTATTAACCCAGGGAAAGTCAAAAAAGAAAGCACAGATCCCCGGGAACTTTTTGCGTCCGTTCTAATACCTCAATGCACAGCTGGCCTGGCAGGGCACTGGCTGGGGCAGTGAGGTGGGCTTCTTGGTGCAGTGGCGCACAGGACACTTACATTTCGACGACACCCTCTGGCAAGTTGGCGGGGATCTCCGTGAGGCCCTTTGCTCGACAGTCCACAATGTTATTACTGCAGGTGCAGGCTGATGGACAGGAGAGCGAGTTGGCATTGCAGGATGGAGGCTCCGAGTGGGGGGCTGCGAGAACACAAAGGGGGCAAAGTCAAGTCACCAAGGGCAACACAAGGGTCAGAGCACCAGGACATCTGCAGCCTTCAGCTAGCTTTCTGCGGATGCAGCATCACATGCCGAGCAACATGGCACATTATCACCAACTGACTTCTCTCCTCCCACTGCTGCCATGGGCTGAATATTCCACAGACAGGAAAGATGCTGACTCCGACCTCTCTAATCCTGAGTTGTTCCACCTGCTCTTTTATCAGACAATCTGGTCTTTCAAAGAAACAGGAGCACTCAGAGCCAATCATACATGAAACATGTTTCTGGAATCTAAGGCACATGGACTTGACTTACTCTTCTAGAGTAGCCAGTGTATACTGTATATACTGGGGTTTTGGTTATCGTTAGGTAGTTAGGTATTTAGTGTTGAAACAGCTTTCCAACTTTGCCAGTGGATATCAAAGCCAAACGGGAGGGGGAGAAGGTGGTAGAATTTTCCCACTCTTGGCCTTGATGTCCTGATATTGTCAAGATGTCAATAGAGTCATCAACTTTGTCACCCAAGACATTTCTAAATGGCTTTGATAAAGCCCAGGCGACACACAGATTCAATCTATCTCACCAAGAAAAAGGCAAATAAGTCATTACAAACCTTTGGAGTCAGCGCTTGATTTTGTTTGAGGTGAGAACCTGTGTGAATTTAAAGCTAAGCGATAAAAACCCAAGCAAATTGCACCCTGGGAACTTATTTAGAAAGCTAAATGTAGATAAACATATCTATTGCTAACCTAACTCAATACAGAAAGAAACACCGAGAATCTTAATCATGTTTTCTAAATCCCAAATGCAAGAAGTAAATTCAAACATAAAGACACTGTAAACATTTCATGCGGTAACTACTACCTAACAGGGAAGCAAGAGGTATAAACACGGGGCGAGTTTTTGTAAATATGGAAGATATAAAGTTATGGTTCAGAGGGGAAAGTCAGTGCAGTGGTCCTCCAAGGACCTTGTGCCTTTTGGATCCAGCCAGCAGAAGTCATTTCCAGGTCTTTCCAGCTCCCCTGCCTGCAGCAATAGGCTGTAGGCCTACACCAAGCTCAGGGCAGCTCTGCAGATCTCCTCACTGCTCTGAAATGGGAAGCGTGGCTGGGAGCTATTGGACACAGATTAAACATGAAAGAGGACTGGATGTATGACACACCAGTTAAGATGCTATTTGGAATGGCCAGTGGTCATGTCCGAGAACTGCTCCACTTCCCACTGCAGCCTTCTGTGTATGCACCAAGAGGAAACAAGTGATGGCTTAGTACTTGGGTCCCTGCCACCCAAGCTTCCAGGAGACCTGGACTGAATTTTGGGCTTCTGCTTTTGGTTTGGTCTATCCTTATCTACGGTAAGCTTTTGGGGGAGTGAAACACTAGATGAGAGATCTCTGTCTCTCTTTCAAATAAATAGAAATAAAACATGAAAAATGGAAAATGTCTGCTAAAAATAATTTTTGGTTTAGCCCTGTTCGCTGGAGATATGGAAGCCAGAATGACTCTACCGTGGTGGATGAGTCAACTGGGCCTGAGGCAAGTCTACATGTGGACACTGAGACTCGGAGTGGAGGGTCCCATTCACCATGCCAACTGTCCCTTGGGAGTATCCTGTCACAGGAGCTCCAAATGACAACTGTAGCTTAAGTGAAGTGTTCATCTTTCCAGAAAATGCCAGGCAACTAAAGATTCTAACTTCCCTTGGCCTCATTTACATAAACACACACACACGGAATATTTAAGACCATTATTTTAACAGGGTTGCATGTGAAAATACTCTTGTCTAATGTACAAGGAATTATTGGTTGCCAATGCGACACTAGTGAATTCAACAAATGCCATGGGAAAAGCCAGAGAGATAAGGGTTAGCCTGAAAATCCCCAAGTGGAACATTCTCTCAGAGATAGTAATGCTAATATTGATATTATTGGCTTTAGTACAAACTGAGAAGGCTGTTATATTTCCTTCTTTTCCTCTGATGACTACAAATGATTTTAATTGTGTATATTTGCAGAGTACAGTGTCATCATTTCATGTGTGCAAAGTGTAATGATCAAACCAGGGTAGTTAGCATTTCCATCTTCCTAAATATTAAAAAAAAATGGCTTACAGGGAATAACCGTACATGTTTATGAACAATGGCAATAGTAGATACCACATTATAGTCACACAGAAAGTCTAGGATTTGGTGTTCTACAGCATGGTGGGGTGACCACGGCTCAACAACCCACATGTATCTTATGAGAACAAGAAAGAATTCTAAAGCTGCCAAACTCAGTCAGGGTAAGAGGAGGGAATGCTCATTTCCTTTGGTCTGTGTATACTGAATGCAATCAGTTTGCAAAGTCTGTACACTCCTGAGAAAGTGGCAACAGCAGAAAGGCAACATGAACTGGCCTCAGCTCAGGAGTGAGGTCTTGTGGTTGAGGCCATGAGGTCTTGAGCCTCATCACCTGGCTCTGAGTCATTCTCTCCTTTCACCCTTGTCTCCTTGCTCAGTTTTCCCCATTTGTAAGACAGGAGAAGGTAACAACATAGCACAGCACACACAGCACAGAGAGCCTCCTGGTGAGTAAGCTGTTGCTATTAGTGGGGCTTGCTCAACACTCATCATTTGCAAGACACTGGGTGAGTTGCTGTAGATCTGGGTGAGCTTTGGTGTTACCACCTCAGTGAACAAGGGGTTTGGGCTACACGGTTTCTGGCATCCTTTCTAGGCTAAAGACGAACTGCTCTGTTCAGACAGTGGAAGTAGGGGGAGTAAAAGGACACCCTTTCCTCATCCATTTTACCTTTCTATGCAGGCAATATAGGGTCTCCTTGTATAGGATCTACAGGTTGAAGAGCTCCAATCCCGTCTCAGCTCAGGGAAACTGAGGGCCAGTGACATCAGCTGTCAGGGCTCTTGAAGTGCAGATGGGGCTCCCCCCAAAAAGTTGCCAGGCCTAGCTTTCTACTTCAAGGAAATAAGGCATTTAACAAAGCCAGGGAAAGGCCATGGCCCAGACACGTCCCTGCACTGCTGAAGTCAAGGGTCACATCCATCCTTTCTACCAACATCTTGCTTGGATGGGGTGTGCTGGAAAAGGGAATAGAAAGACCTCCTTTGGGGGCTTCTATTGGCATCAGGAAGTTCAATGTGTAACTTTTTTTCATAGACACCCCTGCTGATTTCTCTGTTGGAATGAAGGAATCCTGTTCTAAAACACTCTGAAGCTGCTGCGACCTTTATTCCCTGTGGGAACTGGCTGGGTCATTCTCAGAGTGGTTCTCCTTCTCTCGGTAGTGTGCACTACTCCCTTTCAAGGGAAGCTGTCAAGGCAAAAAAAGCCTTTGAAAGATTCCTTAACCAGGTCACTAACAACACCTTTAATTACGCAGAGAGAAACAACGGTAATTATAGCCTCTGTCAGCACCCCCAGGAAGGCATCCAGGCATGGTGAGGACTTTACCTTCTTGTTTAAACATCACTTGAGGTTGCAAACCGTGGTGGAGAGACAAGTTCACTTCCCAGGAAACATCCTCCCCCGATCAATGCCTGATGAACCAAGTGCATCTTCTTCAGGGCCTCTGTGTGCCACGATGGTAGACCATTTGGTTGTCTGTCTCCAGACACACTGGGGCCGGGAGGGGAATTCTACAAGTGGGCTGACTTTTTCTGTCTTAATCATCATGACATTCTGAGTGCCTAAAACAGGTCTTCACCCCACACATAGACTCAACAAACCTACCAGAATATTTCCAAAAGTTCCTGGCTAAATGGGAATGAAAAGGTGTGTTTTATATAAGTGCCAAATATTTTGAACTGGATGCAGACAAGGATTCTTCAGACAGGACCTGAAAATATGCATTGCAACAAATAAACTACCACTTTCAAAACGTACCTTTTCATTCCATTTCCCAATATATTCTAAAGTCTCCCAGTTCCTTGGATAGATAAGAGGATGACCATGGTGGTGGTTGAGTTTTACGTGTCAACTAAACTGGACTGTATAGTCCCCAGATACCTGGAAGAGTACCATGTTGGGTGTGCTTATCCCACAAGGCATAAGCTTTTGAGTCTTAGCGGAGCAGGTGGGCCTGCTGAGAGGTCCCTAGGCTGATGGGACAGTACTCGTAGATCGGGTTCTTGCTGGACTTGTGATAGAAGCCTGAGAGCAGTGATGTCTTTCCAGTCCAACCGCCCCAAGGAAAGTGCCTGTGGCCACCTATGTGGTTGTTCTACCTCCGCTGTTGACTCTGCCTCTCATTCTCAGAAGACTGATGGATGCAACAGCAGGGAACTGGCTCCCCCTTATTTTTGCTTTTCCCTTAATAGTCACAATGGGAATGATCAGCCTGAAAGTACATGACTCTGACTTGCTCGCCCAGATAATGAGGACAGGCAAGACCACTGAACTTCAGACTCAGACGAAGCAACTACGGAGCAAACAGAAGCTTGGAAAGAGGAGGGCACCTCTTGAGGCCATTGTAAGCACAGCTGTGGTTTTCCTAAGAGGAGCAAGCATATATTGAGCCTTTACCCTGCATCAGATGCTGCCCTCAACACCTGCTATATAGGATCTCATTTAGTCCTATCAACCCCATGACTTGAATTCTATTACTACCATTATTCCTGTGATTTTAATGAGTAAATGGAAGAAAAGGAAGGTGGAGCAGACACCGAAGGTCACAGAGCTGGGGGGCAACAGTAATTCTAGTGTTGGATCTGTCAGGTCCTACCCTGCTTTCTCTGGCTCTTTAGCTACAATTCTGAAGTCTAGCCATGCAACACAAAAGCTGCAGAGTCTCTGAATTTTAGATGGGAGACAGAGCAGGCCCAGGGGCCAGGGCACAGAGGGTGCAGGCTCTATAGTGATGGCTGCACACTCTTCTGTTTACTTCTGCCTGAAAACAAATCTCATTTGCCAGAGCGCACTCAGAAGGAAAAAAACAAAACAAGAAAAAAAAAAAAACGATGGCCTTGTGAGTACGTGGAAATAAATTAATTCCAGTATTCAAATTAAGCATCTCTCCTGGCCTCTGGCCTTTCAAAAGCCAGCAACAGACTGAAATGACAATGGGACTCGAGCAATTATGATGAGAATATAAATGAATGTGATTTAAATACCAGAGGCATGATAATTTTGGGAATAGCTAAATAAACCTAATAATCTCATTCCGGCAATGTCCAATTATGGTGTTTTAATTAAAACCTCCTAAGGAGATGGGTGGCTAGTCGTGGCTTACCTTAATTATCTTTATACTTAGTAACTAGTGCTGAATTAAAAAAAAAATAGAAGGAGAAAAAAAATAAAAAGAAGCAGGGCAAAGTTTTTTGCTTCCAGGGAGACACACATCTCCTTTTTAACCAAAAAGGGACACACATTCATTGAGAGGCTATTAGTGTCATGTATTGTTCCAGACATGGCAGCAAGAGAAAAAAAAATGCAAGGTGTGCCCCCATATTACAGGGAGATCTATTAGTATTATTAGTATATCTATTAGATCTATCCAAGGCTAGGGCACCTAGTGTGATGCGAGGATCACTACTGGGTTTTGACATTCAAAGGAAAGAGATCATTGATTCAGGAGGCCAAACATTTAACTAATCATCTGCAATTACAAATTATGGCTATTCAAAGCTCTCTCAGATTAAAGTCCCAAGAAATTAACACATGGGACATAAAGTCCTAGAAATTGAGCCCCCAAATCAACCTTTAAGGTGAGGATAAAAAAATGTGTTCCCCCCCGCAAAAAAAACAAACCCAGCTTGAAACTTGAATAACATAAACTTTCTGTTTCATCCATTTTCATGAACTTTGATCAAGTTCTGGGCTAGTCCAGGCAATGGGAAGGTCACAGAAGCTGCAAGATTTACGCCTTAGCTTCTTCTTTGTAATAAAGCATTTAACAGGCATCCTCTGAGTACTTGGTGAAGGAAGCCAAATCAGTAGTTGTGTAGCACGCACAAAAAAAGTTGATATAAAAAAAAATTGAAACAGATACATTCCCCCACTCTTGTGACAAATTTCTAGTTGTTCCCACAGAGGAGGAAAATAAATGTCCTCCACTGGGATACCCTTGGCAGAAGAGATGGATTTTGCCCAAGTGAATTTCTGGGCCAGCTGGAGTGATAAGGAAACCATCTCCAGGGTTTCTGGCAAGAGGAGGCTGGGCTCTAGACAGCTGGACTTAATTCAAAGGCAGCTATCAGGGACTCGGGCAGGCAGGACCCACACAGGCTCAGTGAGATAAAGCACTTTGCTCTCTCAAGTTGTGCGCTCAGTGCATTTCTTGATCCTGTTAACGGGCCCAGGGGCCACATCTCTGCTGCCTTGTCAGGGGCTGCTGGTGATGAAGCTACACACAGCAATGGCTTCATTAATGCACCTTACCTCCTCTTTCTCCTGAGCAGATGACCTCTATCTCTTAAGGGAGGGTCTGCACGGAAGTCCCACTCCCATGAGTTATTAGGGGAATAGTCTGAGCAAGGTGCATTTGTGGGGTTGTGGTTTTCAACAGCCGCCTTCAGATGACTTGCTGGGCTTTTGCACTGAGCAGGTCTCAGGGCTGGGGTGGTTGAAGGGTTGGTTTGTGTGTACAGCCCTCTGAACTACCTTCTCCAAGACCCCAAAGACTGACCAGTGGTGTTTTATCTATACCTTCACAACCAGCACCATGTTTTATACTGCTTCTTCTAGCATCCTTCTATCACAATCTCACCAAACACCTTCAACAATTATTGAAGAGGTGGCATTTTGTGTGTGTATGTTCTGGCGGGTATATTCCAACACTGTACCCCACTAATGATGGTGATGGTTCATTTATCATGGATGTGCCATGCACCAGTTCTCTCTGACCATTACAATGGACTCTAACATTTTCAAATATCAACACCCACAACATTCCCATTTCAGACACGTGGCAGCCTAGTAAACAAACCTAAAGAAGGCGAATGCAAGGGATCCCAACAGGTCACAGCTCTGCACTAATGCCACAGGGGAGAGGGAGCAGACTCACAGCACATCGATGTCTGGAATCCTCCTAAGACTCCTGACTTTGTTGGAAGCAGTTACAGGGCTCATTGCAAGCACTGGGCTTAACTGCTATAAACGGAAAGGGTTACAAGGATGCACCCAGGTAACCATTACCCCACCTGCTAGATCAGATCTTGCCTTTCCAAAGGAGAGTGATTTGTGGCATTTTCGTTTCCAGCATTTAGGAGAGTCAGCCCTACTCACATGGCTTGGACCCTGACTGTAATCACTCCTGTGATGGGAGGGGGCTTTTGTGATGAACTTGGCCCTGATTAGAATGGCGTCTTTTAACATTCTCTCTAATTCGTTCTCCCTGCTAGTTCTGGGATGACTCCTGCACTGGCACTTACACTGATGTTGCACCCTTTGCCTAATAACTGCTGCCCTTAGTGTGACTCTAATTGAAATTTCGTATCTGTGTGATAGATGGTTTTACTGTATGTGTTTGATGGGAAGTGGTTTCTTAGGGGGTGTCCACAGGAAGTCATGGGGGTGAGAATGTTTCTGGATAATAAATAATATGATAAGCTGAAAACATAACAGGTGCTACCAGCATGTGGGGGCCGGTGAAGTTAAATTCAAGGAGAATTCTTGCCTAGGGCAAATGCAGCTGAAGAGCAAGGAGACCAGAGTGTACTCCTGGTCATATCAGGGCCTATGGAGCACATGGGCTTGCTAAGCCTTCAATACTGAACACGGGCAGTAGTTAAGAAAGGTGAGGAGTCAGGCCAGTGTGGGACACAGCAAATTGAGCTACCCTGTGGGATTGCAGCATCCTGTATCAGAGCTCTGGCTCCAGTGCTGGCTATACCACTTCCTCCCAGCATCGTGCTGATGCACCAGGAAGGCAGTGGACAACAGCTCAAGATCTTGGGCACTAGTCATCCACATGGGAGACCAGGATGGAGTTCTTAGACTTAGTCTTTCACAGGGATCCGTCCTGGCTGTTGTAGCCATCTAGGAAGTGAACCAGTCTCACTTACTGTGTTTATCTGACTGTGTTTAGCCTTCCAAATCAATAAATCTTTTTAAAAAGAAAAAAGGATGAGGAGAAATGCAGAGCCCATAGTGTTAAGCCTTCTGTTCTTGTCCTGCTTACTCAAGGGGTCTACTCTCCAAGCTTAACCTCTAGAGGCCAATGGGTTCCAAGTCATGGCTGGATTTCTAGAAAGCTAACATGGTCTCTGGGAAATCTCTAACAGAATGCTTTCTGTTTGTGTGCTTGATTTTTTTCTCCTGGACAACTGAGGAATTATGCTCTGCTTCTTTACTACCAGAACAATTGGTAGGAATGGAAGACATTAATGGAAAGTAAAAAACAAAGCAGCAAAATTTATGAGCTGGTTCCAAAGCTATGACCTCTTCTGGGAAGACGGTCTCAGGTCCCAGCCAGATCCAGTGCCTGGTATCTGAGCTGCCTTTCATGATGGGTCTGTACACAGCTTTGTTTTCTATCCCACATGGGCAAGCTGTGCTTCTATTTCCACTTCCATTACCCACAGATCAAACTTATGTTTGCTCAGCATATTCTTTAGGCCCACTAAACTAGAATAATTAAGCTCCACTTATTTAGTGCTTACCAAGTGCTGTGTGTTATGCTAAGTGCTTAATGTGCAGTATTTCAGAAAATCCCACCACCACTCCTTTGAGTTATGTACTGTTATCATTTCCATTTTGCAGATGAGCAGTAACTTGCCCAAGTCACACACTAGAAAGGGGTAGAGCGAGGATCTCCAGTCTCATACAGGCTGAATGCACAGTCTACATTACCCTGTCTCCCCAAATCTGCAGGCATCTGGATGATAGGGACGTGTTTAGCAAATACTAAGACATCTGCATTACACCTGCCTCTGTACTGCATGCCGCTCAACCAATGTTAAGTTTCTTAGCATCAGCAGACGATGGGGTTTAACAGAAAGTGACTCAGGAGTTCTTTTAGCATTTTTTTCTTTTTCAGATGACAAGAGCTTTTTTTTTCAACGAACCCCTTGAGACACTCCAGAATTGAGCCTGAGCAGTGGGAGCAAACTATGGGGTTTGTTCCAGACCAAGCCCTGGGTTGGTGTGTGATTTGAAGGCTAGGATGATGATGAGGAGAGTTCCAGGATGGTGAGCTGCAGCATATGAGGGGACAGTGGGTGGGGCAGCCTTACCTGGGCACACATACTCTTTCTTCTGAACATCTGCCACATTGAAGCCCCTCAGGTGCACGGGAGCCATGCAGAGTGTAAACTGGCCAATTGTCCGCCGCTGTCGCAGCCAATCTGAGAGCCAGGCCAGGTGGCAGTCACAGTACAGGTGGTTGGAGTGGAGGCGCCTGAGAGGAAGAGAAACACAAGTGAGGCTTTGTCACACAATGGGGAGGCTGTTCTTAAGGGAAGAGAGTGGTAAAACCTCTGTTACTCCTTGGCCAAGTTATTCTGCTACTCCTTGTGGACCCAAGCAGACATTTTCGCCCCCACAGTGCTGCAAATCATGAACTTCAGCCCTTTTATCACTACAGCACAGATGACAGGAGCTTCCTATGTCAGCCACGTGGAATGAATAACCCCACTTCCTGACAGTAATTCTATTCTCACTTCTCTTTTCTAAAGCAAGCAGGCCTCTGCACACAGGAGAGGAGAGGGACATTACAGTAACAATCCTGATTTGTGTCACATCACAAGCAGTGATTCTTTAGAAAATTCTAGTGTTTAAGCTAGCGTGCATTGCAGCCGGCTGGACACATGCTTCCTGGTCTCAATGCCCCATCTTTGGCGACACTGTGGTCAAGACACACTGTTGGCTTTGCCTTTTTTTTTCTTTCTTTGTTTCTTTCTTTTGTAGATGGTGCTGCTATAAATATAGGATTACAGATGCCTTGGCTTTTCCTTGAACTTCCTCACTCTGTGCATAAATGCTTTTATGAACCCACTGTATGTAATGCTGGTAGGCCTGACACAAACACCACGTGTATGCTAGACAGATGCAGCTGGACAGAGATGGGTACTTCTGGAAGGACATACCTTCTCTCCACCTTCCCTCTGTGCATAACAGGTTATACATTCCTTTTACTCTCTCCACACTGCCCTCCCTCCTTGTCCCGACTTTAATTCCACCTGGTCTATTGGCTGTTCTCACTGATCCATGTGTGTCGAGAAAGTTTTCCTAACTGGTTCTTGGACTCTCTTTGGCTTGTTCCTACAAGGTCTGTGAATCAGATCAATTTCTTAGCCTTGAGTGATTAAAGATTTTGAAGAGAGATCTGTATGTTTCACATCTGGAGGGAAATCCTATCTGGTTAAACGACTTCAATCCCCCTTACACTAATAGAGTTCGACTAAAGCTTATGCAGGGGTGTCTCAGAGTTCTCCCCCAAAGTTTCTCCCTTGGCTGTTTCCAACATTCTATTTGCTACAACCGTAGGTTAGTTGAGAGAGTGGTGAGTGAGATATAACTACACAAGTTCATCACATACTGGGGTTTCTGATACAAATTTCAAATGCCTAATACCAGACACGTGAATCGGTCAATAGTATCTTGGGGCTTTCAAGTGCTCTGTGTCAAGCCTGTTAATACTGAGTGGCAGCCAGCCTGGGGCTTGTTCTGTGTTTATAATGGAAGAGCTTCAAGGGCTCTTGATCACTCTCTACTTAGTGTCAGTTCAACATTGTCAAACACTGGCCAAGTGCAGTTAGCACAGTTTGCAAAGCTGGTGGGGCCTACCTGAAGCTGCATGGGCACTGGTGAGGGACACTGGTAAATTCCAGAGACCATAAAGACTAAATGCAATCACAGTTCACAGAAAGGGCAATTTTTTTCTGCTCAACTATTGAAAATCAATGATTTTTTAAAAATTTGCTTAAATAACTTTTTTATCCCTCTGTGTTTCAACGGTGGGCTGAGTACATTTTCATAGGCTCCCAGGAACTACAATGAGGTCCAAGATATTCTTCCCTTTGAGTTTTGGAAGTTCAGATCCCCTAATCTGAAGCAAGAGTGATGATTTCTACTTAGACTGGCACTGTACAGAAAAATCCGACAGGTGGGAAGATGTGCTGAGGGGAGCCGAAATCCTCAATGGATGGAAGGTCCCTGTTCTTGGAAGAGAAAGCAAGACCTTTGTTTACTCAATAAGCACAATCACGTAATGCCAAGAATAGAAAGACAGGTGACATATCTTCAGGTACCCTTATTTCCTACAAAGCAGGAAGGAGAGGAGGGCAATCTTTGGCCAGTGAACATATGCCCATGTGCCACTGCCACCTAATGGGCATGGAGCAGGTGCAGTGGTGTGCAGAGGCCAAGAAGTGGAAATTCTTTCATGTGCCAGGAGAATTAGATGCTTTTAATGAGCATAGCTTTTATTTCATAAGGCAGCTGCTTTTCTTGGCAATGAGACATTGAACCAAGGGCTACATGGATTCATTGGGAAGGAATGAGCACGGGTCCACGTGGCAGATCAATGAACATAAATTCCCATAAGTTTCACTCAGGGGTTAACAGATCAATGGAACAACAGAAATGAGGTTTAGGTAAGTCAGATCTTTACTGAGCTGATTAATTTCTGGGATAATCAAAATGTCAAAGGTTTCCCCTTTTGGAAGATCAGATTAGGTTGGTTCTTTTCTCAACCTTGGCTGGCTGGGTGCACATTAACTCTCATCCCCACCTTGCCACAGATGGTTTCTATCCATTGGTCCATCTCCATAAGGGCATTTCTGCTCCCTAGTGGGGCCCATAGAAGAGTGATGACCCAGACTGATGCGGGAGCCATGCAAAGCTCTCATGAAAAGTCCAGGGCCTTGGATGGGCTCAGTCCCCTTGTTCTAGAATTTGATCCATCTGAAATGTCAGATCAAATCGCCTTGGTAGATTCTCTCCAGCCACCTTAAAATCACATTTGGGAGACTAAATTGAGAAGTCACCATGTCAAGCACTCATCTTACAAGGAAAACAATCACAACAGTCATGACACTTGAACTTGGACACTGCCAAGGACAACAGTTCTAATCCTTTTGTGTGAGAAGCTTCGTTTAGTGACTCCAACTGGTGACCTGAGGTAAGGTGGTTTCCACTGGCTCCAGGGCCTTGTGGCAACTCTGGTCCACACTTCTACTGAACAGCTGGACCATGTTCTGTTACACAGAATGAGCTCAGGCTCTGATGTCAGATTTCCCAAGTCTGATGTTGGCTCTGTGCTTGCTAACTTGGGCTTTGGTGACTTAGTTCTGTCTCTTAGTGATACCATTGTAAAATGACAATGTAAGTGACGCCTCCTTTCTCAGGCTATTGTGAGCACTGAAATGACTGCTGGCAAGTGCTCAGTACAAGACCTGGTATGCATTAAACCACTAGAGAAAGGTTAGCTTTTAGAACAATTGACAGGGGGCTAGCTCCCTAGTTCAGTCTCTTCCAAGTCATGGTCCCATTTGTACATTCAGCAAAGCATCCAGATGTCTGAGGAGTTTCTGCAAGTTGCCCTGCAATCTTGTGCTGATGGACACCTCCTATTCCATGTGGAAGAAACTACCTCTATAGAACACAAGGTGAGCAAATACAAATGCCAATTTACCAGAGGTGCTTTTTAGCCACGGAAGCTAAATTAAATTTCTAGTAAATCCACTTAGAGAGGGTCACTGTTCATTTTCTATGAAGTGTGCCATTCTGAATTCAATATAAAAGCTTTCCTTTAGAAATCCCATTTATGACTTCCTTCCTCTCTCCCCTCCCCTCCTTCTCCAACACCACCGGCTCCCCCCGCCACCACACCCACACCGCCTTTAATTACAGTGAAGTGGGATTAGCCAGCTCGTCTCCAGGGAGTTCTATGCAGAGCCATCTCTGAAATTAAACTAAACAGAAAATGGCAGCAGGCAGGGAGCAGAGAGAGCAGAGGAGATGGACTGATGTATCTGAACTCATTAGATGAAGGCCTAGGACCACAGAGAAGAATGACAACAGAAACAAGGAGAAAAAAAACCTTTGCCCTCCTTCCCCTGCACCAATGTGCTCAACATTCAGGCCTGACAATGTTCCCCAACTATGAGGAACAAGCCCATTGACTGTATGGCTGCTCCTAAAGTGAAATGACAGGGGGAGATGGGTGTAGACCACACAGGAGCTGCCCTGCTGGTTTCTGCAGGTGACAGGCAGCCGCTTGTCTCTGGCCACGCAAGCCTCACACCCTTAGATTCACTTTTAGTTTTTTAGCTCTGGGAGCCCTGAATCACATTTTCCCCCACCCGCCCTGTTTGCTGGGGGAACTTGTAAGAGGTCTTTGAAGACCAAACGGCTTCTCCTTAAAATTCCATAGCTGCACCATCCTGTATCACTTGGCTGAGTCATCCTATGTAATGAGGCTTCCAAGGAAGTATTTGGGAAGCAGAGATGGAAGCTGGGCTCAGATTAGTGCTGGTCTTTATTTCTCATAACTTGCACTTGTTAGATGCACACCATGTACCAGGGACTTACCTTGTTAAAGGGCATTTTACTCTTTTAACAACTCTAGGTAAATATATATTAACTCACTTCCCATGAAGCACAGAGAGAAGAAACTTGCCCAGTGGGACAGCTCACACTGACATTTGGATCTGCCTGACTCCAAACTTGGAGTTCCTTCTTGGAGTGCTCTGCCTTGCTTCCTTATAAATTACTTTGTTTTAATCTCACCTACAGATAAGGTCACAGTCTCGCAATTGCAGTGGTCCCAGACTTCACAAGTATTAATATCTCCTAGGAGTATTAAAAAACAGATTGTTGGGTCACAGAGCTGGTCCTATAGTCACAGAGCAAGTCATAGCATTTTCCTTCCCTTGTTTTTAATTTGAGAGATGGAGGAAGACATGTAGAATCTCAGGACCAGGATGAAGTCGGGAACCAGGAACTCAGTCCTGGCCTCCCAGCTGCATGGCAGAGACCCAACGACCTGAGCCATCCTGGCCACCTTCCAGGATCTGAAGAAACAGAAAACTGAAGGCAGCAGCCAGAGCCAGGACTAGAACCCAGACACTGCAATGTGGGACACAGGCACATGATCTGTTAGCTCAAAGGCCTGCCTCTGATGCTTTACTGTGCCAACAAATTATAGGTGATGCTCCCGGTAAGGGGGCCCGCTTTGGGAAATCACATGGGTTCTATGTTGCCTGAGGTCATTCATAATTGGTTTGTTTGGAACTTTCGCTCCAGATTTTGGGATTAAAAAGTATGATACTACTGGTAACACTGTAGTCAGTATCTTTGCTCTCTAACACATACCAGGTACCCTACAGATCTGATTTCACCTGATCCTGATCACTGACCCTATTTATTGAACAGGGAGCCAAGGACACAGAGCTAATAAGAACTCAGCAGGAATTTTAGTCCTTTGCCTTGGCCCTAAATATATTTGGCTGAAAATTCTTGGCAGGTGCTACTGGGATGCAAACACTTCTGAGGCTCAAGGAACAGGAATTCTTATCAGGTATAAACATCTCAGGAAAGACCAACGAAGGTGGGAGTGCAGAGGAACTCATCAAGAGGTTTCTATCTAAGAATAGAGGGGACCCTCCAGGTAGCAAGGGAATGACAACTGCTCTTGGGATTGGGAACAATGGGCAGATTGCTTCCTGAGTTCAGATGCTGCAAGGCTTGAGTCCCTCTGAGATAATAAAGATTCCAGGAACTGCATTCTAATAGCAGAAAAGTCTCTGAATGAGCCAGCAAGCAGGGCAACATGGTAGGTGGGATTCAGTGGGATAGACAGAAGGAACGACTGGCAATTATAGAACTACCCATGGCGGGTAGGTGCAATGACTCAACCAGCTAATCCTCTACCTTTGGATGCCGGCATCCTAAACGAGCATCAGTTCGTGTCTGGGCTGCTCAACTTCCCATCCAGCTCCCTGCTTGTGGCCTGGGAAAGCAATGCAGGATGGCACAAAGCGTTGGGACTCTGTGCCCATATGTGAGAGACCCTAAAGAAGTTTCTTGTTCCTGGCTTCAGATCACCTTAGTTCTGGCAGCTGTGGCCATTTTGGGAGTAACTAGCAGATGGAGCATCTTTCTGTTTTTCCTTCCCTCTATAAATCTACCTTTCCAATGAAAATTTAAAAACCCCCCAAACCAAGAACTACCAATACAAATAATATTAACAAACCAAATGGAGCCAAAACGCTATGCATTCTGTGAAAACATAAAACAAATACTGCTTCTCTCAAGATGGAAAATTCAAGAAGCGGAAAACACGCAAACTTGTCACAGCAGGATGGGGGACTGGATGCATGGATAGCGTGGTAACTCATCCCTGCATCCACTTTCAATGGCCAACATGTCCCTTAGTAAATAGCAGAAAGAGACACTTGAATATAGGACGACCCAGGAGCTAATGAATAACACAGCAGGCTGTAGTTTAGAGTGTTTAAGTTCTGACTGTGCAAGATGGGGAGGAGGTTGGTGCAGAAGCAGGGTGGGGAGGGGTGAGCAAGGTTCTTTACTCACAGAGTTCGAATCTTCGGCATGTGGTTGAAACTGGTGACCAGGATGCGGCTAATGTTGTTGTTGTTGAGGGTGCTGCGGAGACAGAGAAAGATACATAGTCAGGGGGAGCTAAACACTGAGGAGGAGGGGGTAGCAGAGTGCTTCCAGCAGGTGGAGGTGTGGAGGGGTGCCTGTGACTGCGACGTGGACCCTGTGTCATCAGACAAGGAAGAGCCACAGAGCAGTGCCACGCAGCAGCTGCAATCAAGCAGATCTTCAAGGTAACAACGGAATTCACCGACCTCTTTATTCAGGTGGACCCTTCTTTCTGCTACCCTTTCAGTACTTGCTCACCCACCCTGGGTAATAATATGGCTTCCTGAAGTTCTACTATGTGCTAAGCGCTACATCTAATTCTTTGAGCTACAATGCCAAGAGATGAGAACAGATATACATGTCGTCTTGTTTGGTAATACATAGCCCTGTGACATAGATGTCCTCTTTGGAAGGGGTGGGCCTCCAAAAACTAATGGAAAGGTGTACTGTGACAAGGCTATGCATGGATTTTAAGGCTTTGCACCAAAACGCTTGTATTTATTGATTCCATTTTCCATAAACTTCTTGGAGTTTCCTTATATTACAGACGAGGAGGGCCAGCTCTTGTTACAATCACTGAGAGGTAATACAGCCTTTCCGACAGCACAGTTGCTGAGCTCTGGAGGTGGCTCTGCCAGGTGCATACATCACCTTGTACTTGCATTTTCTAGGCATCTTTAAATTGTTGAAGCACATCCTAGCTCAAGAAAGTCTGCGAGCTCTGGAAGGGCAGGTATTAAGGTCTCCCTTCTTTTATACATTTCTCTTACCATGGACTCCCACTGTTGGCACTGACTGGTATCTTTGCACAGGGAAAAGTTCAGTCTCAGCAACATCCATCCCCGACACTCATCCACCCAACCCAAGGGGACCTGAACAGCTTCCTTCTCCCGTGCCTAGAGTTCAATGTAGGATTCCAGTGATCACATCCCCTCTGCCCAAAATCAGCCCTCAAAAACCCTGAGTCTATTTGTCATTTGTTTGTCCAATGAAGCAAGGAGAAAGTCTGTTTATGCAAAAGCATGGAACCTCATCCTTTCTCCTCTGCCCTTCCCCCTGCTTACTGTATACTTCCCATGCATCTGGCACTAGGTCAGGCAGCCAGGACGGTAACCAGGGACATGCACACCAACTCCACATTCTATGCTTCTGCCTATTCAGTAATTTTACTAATGCATCAATGCAGACGTTTAGCATTTTGAATCTGCTTGGCTAGTTTGTTGTAGCTTATCTTGTGTGTGTGTGTGTGTGTGTGTGTGTGTGTGTGTATACACGCGCGTGTACTAGGCAGCGCACATCCTGTCTGTCTGCCCAGGAAGTCTTCAGACGACCTTATCAGACAATGCTAGAGCATTTATCATTCCCATCAGAGCTGTTCTCCTGCTTAGACTCACAGGGAACTTCCACCTTCCCTCCCTTCTGCTCTGGCTCGAGAATGCCTTCAGGACAGAAACGATGCTCTTATGTCCCTTTCCATCCAGCTCCGATGTAACTTCACACTTGGGGAGACCTAGTTAGGGTTCTTGACTGACTACCAGACATGATGTTGTAAGCATAATGCTTATGTCTCCAAGGCACAGAGCAGCCAGCCTTTGAGGAGAAGGGGCAACTCTCAGACCATGGGTAGCCACTTAGCACTGAGTGCAGTTCACAGCCCAGTTCCACTTGAGCTGAATACACAGTGGAGCTCTATCTAGGGCTTCAACTGTGACTGCATCCGGCAGCAGTCCGGCAGCGATGACTTATTAATGTATTAGCACACTGATACTTAAATGCGAGCTGTAATGAGAGTCATAAAACATTGACGATAATAGCAATTATTCCAGGCCCAAAATGACTAAATGCCATCCTCAGCTTTCCATGATTTGCTGCTTAGGGGCTGGTCAGCCCAGGGATGTCAGAGGGTTGGTGACCTCTTGGATGCCCATCTCTATGGCAGCTAAGGTTTTTGTTTTCCCAATCAAGACAGATTTATTTGACTTCTGGTCTTAGCAGCTGGTGCTGGCACAGAGAGCTCTGTGCTTGCTCTGGTTCCTGGACCCCAGCTCAGCAGCTGGCCTTCAGTGGAGGGACTGTTAGATCCACAACACAGTGATGGGCGGCATGGGACTAGAAGGTAGAGGCATGGTGTAGATTCTGGCCCTGCCACTGAGTGCCTGTGCCAACACAAAGCAGTCTCTTCGCCTCATTCTTCTGCTTCCTTCACATGATGGAGGCAATAGGGGGAGTTTTTGGTGGTAATTACATGAGATGATGCTAACCATTGCTGATTAGAACCAAGGGCTTTGCCGGGCAGACTCTGGGCTTAGGGTGCTCTATTGGATCATCTCATTTAATTTCTCTGGTCACCACACAATGCTGAGTGTTTGTGATCTCTATTTCATCAATGAAGGCCATGATGGTGTCAAGATTTGAATTCAGGGAAGCTTAATTCCAGGAATGAACTCTGTATTAGTTTTCTATTGCTGCTGTAACAGACAACCTCAAATGTAGTGGCATAAACTCTGTTCTCTTACAGTCTGGAGCCGATTCCAGGCTCTGTGTTGCTTCTGAAAGGTGGTGGCAAGATTTCATGTCCTTGCCTCTTGTGAAAGTCTTAGGAGTCACCTATATTCCCTTGATCTATCACCTCTTCCTTCTTTCACCCTAGCCTCTTGCTGCTATCCCATTCCTTAGTCCTCCCTTGTTCTCTGGCCTCCCTCTGACAAGGACTTCCTTGGGTCGGGGGGACACTGGGAGCCTCTCAGAACAAGCCAGGGTAGCCTCCCCTACACTCAGGACTCTTGGTCACATTTGCAAATTTCCTTTGTCTCTGTTAAGTGAGTCAACCTGGAGTGAGGATGAGGACACCTCGGGGTGTTGTTACACAGCTGACCACCATGGCCTGGAAACAGGATCTATGAGCACTTTGCCTCACTCCTAGTCAGCCTTCGGTAATCACTAAACACTGCTTTTGTATCTGTGCATTTCACATCCTTGCCACTTGATCCTTGCAGCAGCCTGAGGTAGGAATTATTCCCACTTTAGAGATAAGCAGCTGGAAGTGCAGAAACCTTCGGGAGTTTTCTGAGGGTGCCACCTGAGCTCCTGGGGTGTCAGGACTCCCTGTTCCTTCTTGAGATCATGTTTCCCTGTCTTACGTATGGCTTCCAGCTTCTAGGGCAAGTTTATCACTCTGCCATGGATATTCTCCATCACCTGCACCTCAACACCCAAAGTCATAATACTGCAACAGCCTCGTCCTATAAACCTCCTTGAAAATTATTCTACTGAAAAATAAGTTCAGTCTGACAGTGACACCGTTTCTCCTGCCTCACTGGATTGGTGGCCCATGCGAAGCTGTGATGACCTCATCAACCTCATCTCATTGACTTCGATCTGCTGGAGGAGCTTTGAGAGTCCAGCTCCAACCTCTCTGTCTTTGCTCTTTTAGAGGAACTGTGGAGGAAAAAGGCACCTTCCTCTCCAATCATGCAGGTATAGTTGAACTCTTCTTCCCCTAATACTCCTAATTCAGTATTTTCCAATGGTTTTCAAGTTCAAGTTCAATGTCAAAATAGTTCCATAAACTTCAATTGTTATGGTCTCCCTCTTCACCCCATCACAGGCTACTGAATAGGAATTGAAGCATGAATTACAAATAGGTCCATTCCCCTCCTCCTGGTATGCAAAAGACCATCTTCTGTCCCATCTATCTTATAAAGTCCTTACCTATGATAAACACTTGATTTATATTGAGGTAAGTTTGACCTGTAAACTCTCCCACTACTCCTTGGTTTTATTATTGTCAGAGCATAGCTGCCTAATGAAAAGGAATTGTTTTCCATATCTAAATGATTCCTGTGGGCAATTTTACTCCTACCCGTGGATGGATCCCAATCTCTCAATCAGAGAACTAGAAAGGGTTCCTTACGTGTTGTATCCAGATCACTGGGGCTGTATGCACTGGTTGCCCCTGCAATGTGCTGACAGAACCCTACTGTCCTAGAAGAATCTGTGCCTCCTCATGTTTCTTCACTAAATACCAGTGAACTGTAGCAAGACAGGGGATCCCAGGAATATTGGTTCCAGGAGGAAAGAACGCACATAATATTCAGCTCCAGGTGCTAAAACAACCACCTATGGGCCAAATCCCATCCATGGCAGCCTGGCTTTGCAAATTAAGCTTTACCAGATCACATCAGCCCCTGTGATAGGCTGCTTTTTGTGTTGTAATGGCTGAATAGTTACAACAGAGACCACATGGGCTACAAAGCTTAAAATATATACTGTCTTGTCTTTTTACAGAAAACACTGGTCAGCCCCAGTAGGCCATTTCATTCCTGCTTGTGCCAGTTATTAAGTGCAAGATGCCGGGCAAGTGACTTTAAGAAGAGAGCACTGAAAGGGGCATTAACACCCATTATGAGGTCCACATTCCACCATTGAATTTCTGGGTTTGACTCTAGTATTTAGCTCATGACACCAGCTTCCTACTAAAACCGACCCTGAAAGCAAGTGGAAATGGCACAGTGATTGGGTTCCTATTAGCCCATGTGGGAGATCCTGGATCAAGTTTCCAACTCTTAACTTTAGTCCTTTGCTGGAGTCATGACTGCTACCTGGGGGAGTGAACCAGCAGACTAGACCTCTCTAGCTTTATCAAATTGAAAAGACAAACACATCTGGAGGTTAGGAATGGAAAACAAAGATGACAAGGATTGGGTCACAGACTTTCAAGACTTAAATACAACAGCAAAACAACAATTTCAGGAAACCCTAAAGAAGCAAGTGGTAGAGCTGGGCTTCAAAAGGAGGCAGTTGATCTCAAGAACTCACACTCCTGGCCAACCTTGGAATATCAGCCACACTACTTCTGGAACCTTCAATGATAGAACAGAATAAGAACCCAGACAGGAGCCTATTCAAGGGAGAGGGCAGGTAAACCTATCTTGGGTTGTGCATGGAACAAACTTTGGCAGCAGTCTTCCAACTATGGTCCCCAGATCTGTAGCATT